GAGGAGGAGGAGGAGGAGGAGGAGGAGGAGGAGGAGGAGGAGGAGGAGGAGCAGGAGGAGGAGAGGAGGAGGAGGAGGAGGAGGAGGGAGCAGGAGCAGGAGGAAGAGGACGAGGAGGAGGAGGAGGAGAAGGTGGAGGAGGAGGCAGAGGGGGAGGGAGGGAGGGAGGGAGGGAGGGAGGAGGGAGGGAGGGAGGGAGGGAGGGAGGGAGGGGAGGGAGGGAGGGAGGGAGGGAGGGAGGAGGGAGGGAGGGAGGGAGGGAGGGAGGGAGGGAGGGAGGGAGGAGGAGGAGGAGGAGGAGGAGTCTGGAACACTGCTCATAAGGCTGGAGGCCTCCCGAGCCCTCTGAGGTCCGGCGTTGCGTACGTTGGGGGGTGCACGGGGGGGGCGAAGCAGGGTGCACTTTTCCTGCACTCGTGGGGCCCAAAAAGGGTCACCAAAGGTGTATGTTCTCAGACACTCGACGTCCAGATTTTTTCAATACACGGTCCCCCGAAGTCCCGACCCTTTCCCCAGGACCAGCTGTTAGTCCCGAGTCGTTTTTGAGGGTCCCAGGGTCTGGCGAGGGTCTTTTGAGGTGGAAAAGGGCTAAGCTTTTCTCGCGATTTTTTAGAACGACGCGAGCATCTCTGGGCTTCTCCCCCCCTTCACTCATCGGCCCCCCCACCGAGCAACGCCCAATGATAAGGCCCGCGCTTAGTGGGCCCTGGAATCGGCAGGGCTTTTTTCCCCAATCAGCGCTTGCACTGAAGGGGTCCTCGCGGAAGTTGAATGATTTGGCGAAAGTTTCCCGCCGATTTTGGTCGCACGCTGGGTTCCCGGGTTCCCGGTTCCGGGTTCCCGGGTTCCCGGTTCCTGGTTCCAGGCCGATTTCGGTGGGCGGCGAGGTTCCCTCGTTCCCGGGTTCCTGGTCGATTTTCTAATCGGTCGGTCTCGCCATCGATCTCATTACCCACCTCTCTATCGATCTCACCCTCGATCTCACAATCAATCTCACTATCGATCTCACAAGCGATCTCACTAGAGATCGCACGAGAGATCTCGCGATCGATCTCTCTATCGATCTCATTGAATCGATTGCACTCTCGGTCTCACGATCGACCTTACAATCGTCCTCTATCGATTCTTCGATCGATCTCATTATCGATATCACAATCGATCTCAAGATCCATTTTATTAATTGTCAAGTCATCCACTGATTGGGTTTTCTCAGGTGTAATGTTGCACCGTTCGAAAATAGTGTCTCCTGAAAATGGAAAGGGTAACAACAACGGCAGCCGGAACCGGAACCAGAACCAGCAACAAACATGGCGACGGAATTGGAAAGCAAACAGTGCCAGAGCCGGACACACAAGCGGCAACGGAACCAGTAAACAAACCGCTTTGCCGTGTAAAAGAAACTCGTCCCCCTGAAATCAGATAGGGGTCTACAGAGGAGCGTAGTTCATGCTTACAGAGTGCGCAACGCTCTCATCGAACAGGTCGAGACTGTCCGTCATGAGTCCGAGTTTGCAAGTCCTTGCGCTTGGCGTTTCCAGGGCCCGCCACTCGGGCCGGGCGAAAGGGGGGGATTGGGAAAGGGGGGGGGTACAAAATTTGCTGCATGCAGCTGGTTTCGGCCTCACCGAGGGGCCACTTCCTCGATACATAGCCGCCTCCGGCGCCGAGAGGCGCCGGGAAAATCAGCTACGTGAGCTGATTCTCAAGCCCCCCCTTTGCTATCCCCCCCTTTCGCCCGACCCGAGCCACGGGCCCGCCCCCCCTCGGCAGTTATGCCCCTCGGGGTCCCTCTGCACCAGCTTCTCTGCGGCTGGCGCCGACGCAGGACGCCCAGCCACTCTGGGCACTCCTCCGTGGAGCCTCGACGACGAGGGCGACAATGAAAAGACGACGGCGACGACGACGACGACGACGGCGACGACGACGCCGACGGCGACCTCGACGACGACGGCGACGCCGACGGCGACCTCGACGACGACGGCGACGGCGATGACGACGACGCCGACGCCGACGTCGGCGCCGACGGCCGCCGACCTGCCGTCCGCGCCGCCCGCCTCCGGCAGGTTCGCAGGGGGCACACGGCCTCCTGGGGCCGCCTGCGCTTCGCGGACCCCGGGGGGGGGGGGGGGGGGGCAGGGGAGGGGGCAGGGGTAGGGGGAGAGGGGGAGAGGGGATGGGCAGGGGGAGGATAGGGGGAGGGGGAGGGGGAGGGGGAGGAGGAGGGATAAGGGGGAGGGGGAGAAGGAGGGTGTAGGGGGGGGGGAGTCAAGCTAGCCAGCTCGAGCGAGTTAAGCATGGCATGCCCATTCCCACCCGCCCTCCCACAACATAAGAAACAGTGATGGCACAACGGACAGGCTGTTGTTTTCCCTTCGCCGTACCCCTAAACCCCCAAATCCGTTCCGAAGGAAGCCTTCGGATTCCTCCCGGGTCCAAACGCACAACTTTTTCGAGTCGCGTCCAGCCGTGACTTAGAGGAGGACCCCGAGGGCCAAAAAGCCTCCTGTCTTCCCCCTCGCCGTACCCCCAAACCCACATCCGGTCCTCCGGACCCCTCCGGACCCCTCCGGGGTCCAAACGCACCATTTTTTCGAGTCGCGTCCAGCCGTGATTTAGAAGAGGACCCCGAGGGCCAGAAAGACTCGAACACCGATGCTCGAGGCGCAAAGTTCGAGCACCTCACTGAAACACTCCCCCTCGGCGCGCCGCCGACCATGACCTGTGGGCGGCGCCGGCGCCGTGCCGCCGCGACGGGCCCTCCCGGTTCGGGCTTCGAGGCTCCTCGGAAGCTCTCGCGGCTCTTGAGCCCACATCCCCGACGATCAGATTTTCTCCGTGCTGGCGTTTTTCCGTCGACTTCGCACATTTTCCCTCGACTTCGCCCTCCAAGGAACGGTTTTTGGCCCCCCAGACCAACAAGAAAATTTCCAGGACGCAAAACTGCTCCCGAGGGGTCGAGATCCCAGAAAGGCTTGGGGCAAATTCACCAGCCCAACGGGCCAGAGGCGTGCAAAGATCTCCGGTAACTAGTTAACAATCTTCTAGTTCGCGCGCGCGGGGCGACCCCTGGGGGCCCCCGGACGAAAAGTACCCCGAGCAGGTCCCGGGCCAGCCCGACGGGCCAGAGGCGTGCTAAGATCTCCGGTGACTAGTTAACAATATTCTAGTTTGCGCGCGCGGGGCGGCCCCTGGGGGCCCCCGGACGAAAAAAAAACGAGCAGGTACTGGGCACGTCGGTCCCAGCGATGGTTTTCTTCGTCGGCGCTGACTTGCAGGTCCCAGAGCGCCCCAGGAACGCCCCAAGAGAGCCGAGACGCCCCCGAGACGATCCGAGGGGCCCTGAGTCGCCAAAAAAAGATCGTTCCAAGACGCCCAAGATGGCCTCCAGACGGCCGAAGACGCCGCCAAGAAACCGCGGGGAGCTTCAGGAGGCCCTCCAAGAGCCTGAACAAGCAAAACCCCCCCAGGCATTCGTCACCCCAGAGCCTCCTGGAACGCCCTGGCGCCCAATGAATTGGCGAGCTAAAAACGTGCGCCGAGCCAAAGCGGGAGCGCAACTTCGAGAAAATTTCGTTCGGCGCCCAAGCGGGAAGGTCATTTCATTCACTTCGAGCGGGGGTGGATGGGGGTGTGCCGCGCCCAATTCTTGCCATGCACTTTTGCGGGGTGGACGACAAGAACAGTTATGTGGGCAGGGAAATCAGCATGGCATTGCTTCTGACAAGTAAGGTGGCCCCTCCCGTCTTGGGGTTGCCCCAGAAGTCCGCGCGCGATGTGCGCCGCGCCCCATTCCTGCCACGCATTTCGCATCGTCGGCGACAAGACAGGCCATGATGAAAGGAAAAACGGCAACTCTGTATTGTTTGTTACAGTCAGGATGGGAGGGCCCGCGGCCCGCATAGACGTCCTCGCGCGAGATGCGCCACGTCCCATTCCTGCCACATATTTTGCACCGTCGGCGACAAAGCAAGCCATGCTGAGAGGAAAAAGCTGAGATGTTGTAATGATTTTTTACAATCAGGATGGGCGGGCCCGGATAGACGGCCGCACGCGATGTGCGCCGCGTCCCATATGTTCGCCGCGTCGCATTGTTGCCACATATTTCGCACCGTCGGCGACAAGGCAAACCATGCTGAGAGGAAAAAGCGGAGACTTTGTATTCATTTTTTACAGTCAGGATGGGCGGGCCCAGATTGATTGCCGCGCGCGATGTGCGCCGCGTCCCATTCCTGCCACGTTTTTTTTTGTCGCATCGTCGACGACAAGAAAGACAGTGTTGAGAAGAAGAACGGCCACTTTGTAATGTTTGTGTATATATATAGATATAAGTCCGGATGGGAGGTCCCGGATTGGATTGCTATCGGCCCGAATACGAGGTAGGTGGGGGTATACAATAATAAGGAACAAGGATAGGGGGAGGGGGAGGGGACGGGGGAGGGGAGGGAGGGGGAGGGGAGGGGGAGGGAGGGGGGGCAGGGGGGCAGGGGGGGGGGGAGGGGGAGGAAGAGGAGGAGGAATGGGTGGGGGGAGGGGGGGAGCAGGGGGAGGGGGAGGGGGAGGGAGAGGAGGAAGAGGGGTGGAGGGGGAGGGGATGGGGGGGGACGAGGGGGGACCCCGACACGGTCGCGTCGGCGCAATACCACGACGGCAGGTGTTTGGCCATCTCCGGTCTCTGGGGGCCTCGCTGGGCCCCGACGGGAAGGTTTTTGGCACAATGTTCGGCTTCCGGGAGCCCTCGCAACGCCCCAAGACCAGCGGCCCAGGGGGGAAAGGGTCGGGACTTCTGGGGACAGCGTAGCGAAAAACATCGGGACGTCGCATGTCTGGATGGGGAGGAGGCAGGAGAGAGTAAGGGAGGGGGACGGAGAGGGCAGAGGGGGAGGGAGAGGGGAGGGGAGCGGAAGGGGGGGGGAGGGGAGGGGAGGGGGAGGGTGAGGGAGGGTGGGGAGGGGAGGGGAAGGAACGGCGAGAGAGAAGTGGCGGGCTGGGCCGCAGAGCAGATGGGCTCGGAGCAGGTGAGGTCGGAGGATCAGGCCGCGTCGCCGATGCACGACGACGACGGCGACGACGACGACGAAGACGACGACGACGATGACGGCGACGACGACGACGGTGATGACGACGACGACGACGACGACGACGACGACGACGACGACGACGACGACGACGACTCAAACGGAAAAACGTGTCACACACGCCGAAGGGTCGGCGGATTTCGACCCGATCGATCCGATTCGACATCAATGTTGGCTGGCCAGATCCGACTTTGTTTGCGATGCTCCGACGCTCCGATGCGGCCTGATGTTTGCAGGGCGTTTTTTTGTGCACGACGGCACGGCCGATCCGATTCGATAACGCCCCCTTGCCGATGCGGCCCGATTAGTCGCCCACGCCGCTCCGATCCGATTCCTGATTCGGCGCCGAGGGATCCTGCCCCTCCTCCTCCTCCTCCTTCTCCTGCTTCTCCTCCTCCTCCTCTTCCTCCTCCTCCTTCCTCTTCCTCCTCCTCCTCCTGCTCCTCCTCCTCCTCCACCACCTCCTCCTCCTCCTCCTCCTCCTCCTCTCCTCCTCCTCGTCCTCGTTTTTTTCTCCTCCTCCTCCTCCTGCTCCTCCTCCTCCTCCTCCTCCTCCTCCTCCTCCTCCTCCTCCTCCTCCCCCTCCTAATCTCTGCCCTATCGACGCTGACGGGCACGGGTTCCCGATTGCCCTTGCCGACCAGGGTTAGCGCTGACCCGGGTCAGCCCGCTCCTAAGCTGCTTCGTGATTGATCTCACCTCCGTTTGCTCGCCCCGGGGCGGCGCACGAGTCAGCGGTGGCGGGGCGGCTGGTGGAGCCTCAGTGCTTCCAGGGGCCACGCCCGAGGAGGGAAGGCAGCGGGGGCGAACCTCCCCGGGAGGCCCAAGGGGCCTTCGACCTCCGAGAGGCTCTCTACGGCAGGCTGGTGTCTTGACGACCCAGGCGTTGGTTTCTGACACCGCGTGGACCTCTCAGCCTCGAGGCATCGGCGGCTTCTCGACCTCCCGTTGGATCTCCTCGATCCCACGGGAGGTCGATCCTTCTCGATTCCAGTTCTCGATTCTCGATCCTCGATCCTCCTCGATCCTCGATCCTTGAGGGGGATGTTCGAGGAATGCCGAGGATCGAGGGTCTAGGGTCGAGGGAGCGCTCCACCTCCATACCAGGGCGCTCCGGGCAGGGGCGGGAGATGCCGCCCCGGCGCGTCTCTCCTCCGGGGCGGGGGGCCTGGCGGCGGGCGGGGGGGGGTCGACCGGCGGCGGGGCCGCCAGCAGGGCAGGCCGGCGGAAGGCGGCGGACCTGAGGTTAAGTCGGGCCTGTCCCTCTACAGGAAGAATATGCAACAATAGTAAAAAAATAGTCGTGGGACGATTTTTGGTAATTTTGAGTGTTGGGCGGTATTGTTTTGACTATTTAGCATTTTTCTTCCAAAATCCCCTTGTTGGAGGACAGGCCCGACTTAAACCTAAGATCGGGACGATCCAAATGGATCAGGAAACATTGGTTCGAATGCCAGCAGCAGTTCCCGTTCGTTCTGAACAGGATTCGCTGTCGGCGTCGCCGCGGACGTGGTCCAATTGAGGCAGAAGGCCGCTTGCCCAACAGCGGCCGCTGGCTGTGTTGGACAACAGTTGCAGTTGGGCATCGCGCCTATTGTGTCGTACCGTTGCCGGGCGTCCAAATGACAGCAATACGGCCAAGACGCTGACATAAGGACCGTTTTGGGTTCGGAGGGGACTTGTTGTTCCTTGGGTCTTTCCGTGGTTGTTCCTCTAGCCATCCTCGTGCATCCAGGCGCTGTTGGCGCCACGAAGGGGCTGCGTTCCTTATCTAGCTTTCTTTATTCCAGCAGCCCTACCGTACGTGACATGAGCACTAGAGGAACACCGGGTCGACTGCGCCGACATTGGCGCGTAAGGTTCCCATGCAAGGTTGCGCGTAAGCGATCGCGTTTCAGGATTCCGAGAGTCGCCCACAAAGTCAAGATTTCGAACGCAGGAACAGTTCGGGTTCGGAAGGAGCTCGCCGCTCCGTAGGCCCTTCATTTGTTGTCCCTCGACATCCCCTCGTGCGTCCCGGCGCTGTTGGGCCCAACGAGGATTATGTTCCTTTCTTCGCGTTCCTCCTGGCAGGTTCGTGTCGTGCCGATGCTGCGGCGACCCCGCCGCGAGCGCTCGAGGCTGATCGCCGACGGTGTCCCAGAGTCGGCCAATGTGAAGCGAGGTGGCGAGCGGAACGCCGCCGATCGTGCCTGGCCGAACGGTTCGTGGGGTGTCGGACCCCCACGCCGCGGTCGTCGCGATACGAACCTGCCCTGTGGCAGCAGTTTGACTGCACGGTGGCCCGCGCTGGAGGGCGTCCCTCCGTACATCTCGGGGAGGGTCGGCGGTGGAAGGCGGGCGGGGGCCTGGACCGAGGATAGATCCTTCCCCGGGGTTCCTTCCGGAGGGTTCCTTCTGGAGGATAGATCCTTCTGGAGGGTTCCAGAGGGCTTTGGAGTGGCCGTGGCACCCGGCACTCGGGTGTTAATAGAAGTGCCCCTGGCCCGAGGTGCCCCAAGCTCTTCGCTCCATTTAGGAGCCCCTGGGGACCTGAGGGCCTCGCGAGGGGTGCCCTGGAGGCCGTCTGGGCCACCCCGAGAATCCTAGGGGTACCTCGGGCCAGGGGTACTTCTAGCAACACCCGAGGTACATCTTCCAGAAGCGCCGCATCTCAGAGACCCCCGATTTGACCCGGTCCCGCTTTGACCCTGTCTTGGCTTCGTCTCAGGAGATGTGGACTGCAGCCCTGGTCGAGGTTCGCGCCCAGTGCGTGAAGGCAATCTGCGCTTCGTACCTCGCCGCCCACCCTCCCTCCGAGGCGGGGGTGGTTTGTCCATGACCACCGCCTGAGGGATCGATCTTTTGGGACCTCGGCAGGCGGTGGATATGGACATGTCCGTGTCCCCCGTGGCCAACATACGAGCGACGCAGAAAAACGGGGTCGTCTTCACCGACATTGGCGCGTAGGCTGCCCGCGTAAGGTCGCGCTTACGCGCCCTCGTTTCGAATGTAGCGTGCCGCGCTGGCGGCTGGCGTAAGCCGTGGCGTACAGGTCGCTAGGCCATCTCGCGTAAGAGCCATTTCTTGTAGTCGCTCATATGTCCATGTTCACCGTTCCTTGGGGTCCCAGGGCGTCGGTTCCTGGGGCAGTGGATCTTCGAAGAAGAAAGCGCCATAAACATAAGTTGTTGGCGCTCCGCACGGAATTCTTGGATCCGCGCTGGGCCCCCCCAGCGGCGCCTCCGGCTCCGCCCCTTGCGCGCTCCGCGCGCCAAGGAAGGGGGCCCTGAGCAGATGCAAGAAATCCGCGCGTAGCGCCCAAAGCTCATGCTTATGTAGTTGTTGTTCTTCTTCTGGAACTCATGCTGATGTCGTTGCTTCTCTTTATGGATGTGGACGTGCTTCTCCTCGCGCGGGAATGCCTTGCCATTCCAGGTCGCGTGTGCCCTGTTCTAGGCCTCCTGGCCTCAGGGGCAGCAGCTTCTAATAGCTCTCGGGGGCGCGCCTCGCCGAGGCTGGCCGGCGGAGCTCGCAGCGCCCCGGAGCGGCCGCCAGAGACTTGCCCGAAGGTAACCGGGGGCAGCGTTAGGGGGGTACGGCTCAGGGGGTGAAGAAGACGGAGATGGAGGAGGAGGGGGGGGGGATGCAGGAGCAGGAGAGGAGGAGGAGGAGGAGGATGGAGGAGGAGGAGCGAGGAGGAGGAGGAAAACAGAGGAGGAACAGGAGGAGGGAGGCGGAGAAATGAGACAGAGGAGGAGGCAGGCGGAGGGGAGGAGGAGGAGGAGGAGGAGGAGGAGGAGGATGGAACAGAGGAGGAGGCGGAGAATGACACAGAGGAGGAGGAGGAGGAGGAGGAGGAAGAGGAGGAGGAGGAGGAGGAGGAGGAGAATGAGACAGAGGAGGAGGAGGGGAGGAGGAGGAGGAGGAGGGGCGTGGAGAGGAGGAGGAGGAGGGAGGCGGAGACTGAGACAGAGGAGGAGGAGGAATGGAGGAGGAGGAGGCGGAGGAGGAGGAGGAGGAGGAGGAGGAGGAACAGTGAGGACAGGAGGAAAGGAGGAACAAGAGGAGAGGAGGCGGAGAAATGAGACGGAGGGGGCGAGGAGGAGGAGGAGGAGGAGGAGAAAGAGGAGGAGGAGGAGGAGAAGGAGGAGGGGGAAGAGGGGGGAGGAGGGGGGAGGGAAGAGGAGGAGGAGGAGGAGGAGGAGGAGGAGGAGGAGGAGGAGGAGGCACAGGGGGAGGCACAGGGGGGGGAGGAGGAGGAGAGGAGGAGGATGGAGGAGGAGGAGTAGGAGGAGGAGGAGGAGGAGGACGAGGAGGAGAAGTTGGAGGAGGAGGAGGAGGAGGATGAAGAGGAGAGGAGGAGGAGGAGGAGGAGGACGAGGATGATGATGAGGAGGAGGAGGAGGAGTAGGAGGAGGAGGACCCTTGCTCGTAGCTGCGTGGGCCAGCAGTTGGGGGGGAATGCAACGATATGGCGAGGCGAGTGGGGAGTGACGCAGGGGGGGAATGCAACGATAGGGCGGCGGCGAGCAAGATAAGACAACGAAGCTGGCCGATGAGATCAGGGGCCCTTCGAAGGTCCGAGTTCGACATTTTCGGACGCTTCCGTGAGTTCCTGGCGGTGTTCCAGCTCCGGGGTGACTTTCGGCGGCTGCGCCTCGCCGTGGGTGCCGAGGTCGTCCCGCGTGGTTGCTGGAGGCCCGAGGTATGGCCCAGAGACCATCAGGGGGTGACAGGCCCGGGGGGAGCGCGTCGACCCCCAATCGCCCACGCATCGCCGATATGGGCTCGATCGCCCGCCCCGCCAAGGAAGGTGCGGATATACGCTATCAGGTGCCTGTCGCCGACCCCTCGGCGAGGAACCGCCGGTTTAAAGTCGATGCGTCTCACCCCTCTGATTCACTTGCCCCCTGGCGTTGGCCCTCATTCTGTCACCTGGGCGGCGCAGAGGAAACGGGGCCGACTGCGCCGACACTGGCGCGCAAGCTGCCCGCTTGAGGTCGCGCGCAAGTGCCCTCGCCTCCACCGTGACGTGCCGCGCTGGTGGCCCGCGTAAGCCGCCGCGTAAGGTCGCTGCGCCATCTCGTGCAAGACCCCCTTCCGATCGTCTCCCACCCTGCCTCTGCAGAATCAGCAGGGCCGTGCCTCCCCGTGCTCGCTCGCTGCCGTCGCCCACCACCGCCGCGTCGCCACTCCGCCCGATCGGCGTGGTGGACACCCTGCGCCGCTCCCCGTCGAGCCTGCGGCCGCGCGCCCGAGCGCCCAGCCCGGTGGCTCGGGAGGGCATGAAGCACCCACAGAGCCCGTACGCGCACTGGAGCATGGAGAACCGCATCAAGATTCAGGGCGATCGTCGAAGGAAAAAGCGCCGTAGGCAGAAGCTTGGGGCGCTCCGCGCGGATTTCTTGGATCCGCGCTGGGCCCCCTCGGCGGCGCCTCCGGCGCCGCCCCTGGCGCGCTCCGCGCGCCAGCGCGGATCCAAGAAATCCGAGCGGAGCGCCCCAAGTTTCTGCTTATGCGTTTTTGTTTTTCCCTAGGCGAGCTGAAGAGCGCTGGCAAGCCTGTGGACTTCGCGTCCGTCTCCAAGGCGGTCGGCGCGGCCTGGAGCTTGCTGACCGACGAGGAGAAGGCCGGCCCCCGCCCGGCGCCTCGCGGCGGGCCGGCTGGGACCGCGTCGTCGGGCGATCGATGGCGCCATGGGGTGGACCACAGCTTGTGGAGTAATAGCCACTTGCGAAATTGATCCTCAACATCCAGAGGCCTCCAGGAAGCCTCTTGTCCATTACCCAGGCAAGATGGCGGTTTGGGACGAAGTAGTAAAATAAAGTGAAGTAGATGCTGAATGTAGCAACAGGCCAAAAAGTGATGAAACGGCAACGTTGTGAAAAAGAGAGTCGGTACTCTAGTATTTGGATCACCCCCTGAATAATAACGAGGAGGTGCAATCCTCTGCGCCTAGCAAACCATCAGCCGCGTGCCGAGAGGGCAGCTAGAGCTGGGGGTCTCTTTTCGGTACTGCATTGGTATATCATCGCCTTTGGCCCATCCCGCTACCGTGCCTGTGTTGTGGGTCAGAGTCTTCAGGGATGCTTCTTGAGGTCTCCTCGGAGCGCTCTCGGGATCTCTCGGGGCAAGTTGTGGGGCATCTTGTGGGCGGAGGAGGAGAAGCAGGATTAAGAAGGACGAGGTTAAAGTTGGAGGAGGAGGAGGAAGGATGAGGGAGGAGGGGGGGAACAGGGGGACGAGGAAGGGGAGGAAGGCGAGCCGAAGAACGATGAGTTTGACGGAACGCCTCGTCACTCAACTCCTGGTGAACCGCGGGTGGGAGGAGGAGGAGGAGGAGGAGGAGGAGGAGGAGGAGGAGGAGAAATACCAGCCTGCCTGCGGCAAGGCCCGCCGCCGTGCCAGCGCAGCCCCCGGGGCGGCGAATGTTCGAATGATCTGATGGTGATGGTGATCGTGATCAAGTCGATGGCGATGGTGACGGTGGCGGTGATGGGGGATGCTGACCTTAGACCTCAGCGGGCCCTGGAAACGACAGGGCCGTTTTTTTTACCGGTTCCGTTTTGCCGTTTTTGTTTCCGGTTCCGACGCCGTTTTTGTTGCAGGTTCCGTCGCCGTTCTTTTACGGGTTTCTGCTCCAGTTCCAATCCTGGAGCCGTGTTTGTTGCCGTTTCCGGTCGCCGTTTTTTTGCCGTTCCCATTTTCAAGGGACTTTTCTTCGGAAACGGTGAAAACACGGCCCTGCCGTTTCCGGGGCCCACTAAGATGCTGACGATGTCGATGGCGATTGTGAAGAACAGCAGCAGTCGTAGTACCTTTAGCCTGGCATCGCTCGGACGTGTGTATTTTTTCTCGGCGAGGACACTTGAGGAACATCCTGGATCATCGAGCGAAAAAAGCACGCACGAAACCGACAAATGCACGGGAAATGGACGTCCGAGCGACGGCAAGTTAGTGGTCGTGGTAGTAGCACGTGCGCTCTCTGGGACGTCTTTCGGCACGCACCCACCAGGACACATGCCTCATATCACTGGAGGCCTTTGGCGCCTCTTGGGGCCTCCTTGGCGCCCTCTTTGCGCCCTCTTTGGGCGCTCTTGGGAGGTCTGGGGGCTCTCTTGGAGTCATCTTGGAGGACATCGATTAGATAGGAAGGAGCTTCAATCAGAATCGTCTCGTGGACCCCTCTTGGAGCTCTCTTGGGGCCCTCTAGGGCGCTCTCGGGGCCGTCTTGGGGCTCTCGGGGCCGTCTTGGGGCTCGCTGGAGCTCTCTTGGAGCAGTCTTGAGGCCTCGGAAGGCCATCGGACGCAAAAAGGCGAGACGAAAACATTCCTTGATGTTATTATGTGTTTGAAGAGTTCTGGCCTCTTGGCGTCCTCCGTGAGACGCTCCGTGGCCACTTTGAACCGTCTTGGAACGGTCTTGTGGCCCTTTGGAGCATCTTGAGAGCCATCTTGAGGCATCTTGGGCTATTTAGTACCATCTTGGAGGTCATCGTGGGCTCATTGAGGCCCTCTTGGGGCCGTCCTGGGCCATCTTAGATGCTCTCTGATCCCTCGCGGGGCGCCCCGTCCAGGTCCAGGGGAGGGGAGAGGAGGAAGGGTCAAGCTACCCACCCGCCCGCAAGCTTTCTAGATCACTCCCACCCGCCCTCCCAACATATAAGTAACACCGGAGCCTAAGCATGTTCAGCGGTTGTCTTTGGATGGACAGTTGCTGGGAACCAAAGCCGAGCTCAGGTGCCCGACGCTCGGGCGAGGTGCGCCACGCGTGTCAGGGGCGCCACGCGCGCCAGGCACCCCTTGGGCCCGAGCGTGCCAGGCACGCCTGGTGCGCCAGATGCGCCACGTGCTTCAAGTGCGCCAGGTGTGCCGCACACTCCAGCCACGTCCGGTGCACGTGCAGAGTGCGTCAGGTGCGCCTGCGCACGTGACAGCACACATCGGGAAACATGTCGGCCCCCACCATCCTTGTCGAAAACCAATGCCCATCATTGTGTCTGGTGTGCCTGTGCACAGCAGGCCACGCGCCACCACCCCCGCGGCCCCTGTCAAAAACCATTTGACAGTGATCGCGGGATGGCCGCGCATGATCCAGATTTAGCCGTGCGGTGCATGTTGTATTGTTTTTTTGTTGTCAGGAATGGTAGCCTTGCGCGCAGCAGGGAATATGCTGACACCCCCGCAGCCCCTGTCAAAAACAATACAAAGTGCTCGCGGGCCTCACGCACATGACTAAAGTCTTTGCCCCCCCGAAGTGTACATTGCATTGTTTTTTGACAGGGATGATGTGGGGGGGGGGGCACATCGGGTTGGCCGTGCAGGCTCCAAGTGTGGAGGCAGAGTGCGGTTTGTATCTTATTGTGATAGGGCTGGTGGAGGGCGGGTCGCCATGGTGTCCTCATGGTTTTTGGTTGGACGTTGGTCGCCTGGGTGAGGGGATGTAGATTCATCAGGAACAGTGATAAGCCCCTGCCCGAGGGGGAAGACTGGGGTTGGAAGAGAAACTTCTCTAGACCACCTACGCCCAGAGGGCTGGTAGGATGCGTTACCACATGCCCAAGACGGTGCCTTCACATTTTTTCTCTCGGGGACGAAATTAAGTCTTTAATGTCCGCCCAACGCACAACAACAAGAGGAGAGAGGATCAGTGAGGAGAAGGCGGGAGCGCGAAGGAGATAGGAGTGGAGCTCGGATTCCGGAGGAGGAAGATGATAAGTCGGAAGTGTGCAACAAGGGGAGGGAGGATCAACAAGGAGGGGAAGTGGGTAGCGAACAGGGCTGCCGCGGCCATCTTGTGCCGAAGCTGGGGCAGAACACCGACAAGCAGACCGTAAAATGAGAAACCCAGGCGCCGTACGTGACCCGCTACGAGGAGCTCAAGAAGGTCTGGGAGGCGGCGCGGGACGCCTACCGTCAGTACCAGAAGGAGCCGCCGTCCTCGTTGTCGTTGCCCTTCGCATGGCCCCAACGACATGCTCACCCTGGGGCGGCCCGGCGAGCCCCGCCCCTGTGGCTTAGGCCCCCAGGAAAAAGCACATGAAAAACGCCCTGCCCCTTTGTTGAGGCCCGTCATTGGTGAGAGGGGGGGGGGCGCGATGCGTCTCAAGGGCCTATCCCCACGAAGGAAAACACATGCCCTGCCCCTTTTCGGGGCGCTTCATGATGAGAGGGGGGGGGGGGGCGCGATGCGTCACTGGGGTACAGTCGGTGCGCTGAAGAAGGAGCCCTTTTCGTTGTGGGGGGCTCCGTATTCCTTAATTGTTTCACAGCTTGCCTCAGGGTTTCCTGATGTTTTCGATGGGAAATCGAAGTTTAACTTATGGAATACAGGGGCCTCGTTCCTTATTTAGGGCTCCTTAGGTCAACGCCCCGACTGTAGGGGGGCGGGGGGGGGGGGGAATCGAGGGCTGCACACGACCACGTCCTGCACCTCAAGGGCCCCCCTCGGGGGCCCCGAGGGTGCATAGACACGAGAGGTGCTCCGGGCTCCGCCCCTCGCCGCTCACGCCCCCCCCCCGCTCTCACGGCTTGCCCCCCCCCCCCCCTGGAGCAGCGCCTGGCCTCAAGTCGAGCATGTCCCTCTACACGCCGGTCGTTGAAAGTAGGTATTTCTGGATTCCCAGATCCCAATCTACTTCAAGCGCCTTCCTACTTCAAGAATCGGCATGCTTTTGCTATGTGTTGTTGTTCTCTGGGAGGGCCTGGACCCAATCCACTTTATCCGCCATCCTACTGAATGTTTTTACCTACTTCTTCCGACCGACGTGTACAGGAGGAGTATTCAAACATAGTTTTAAACATGGTCTGCGGACGATGTTTTGGACTATCTGTTCAACTTCCTTCAGAAACCCGCCTGTAGGAGGACATGCCCGACCTGAGCCAGGCCCCCCTCCCATCCACCGATTCTTGTTTTCGTTCGGTCCGCTGCCGCAGAGGCCCCCCGACCGCCTCCCCTGGGATAGCTGTTCGTCATGGATCCTTTTTGTTGGTGGCTCCCGGGGCCCGACCACTTGGTATCGCTCGGACGTGTGCACTTCTTCCTCGGCGGGGATTGCTATGCAGCATCCTGGATCATCCTGCGAAGAAACCACGCACGAAACCGAAAAACGCACGGGGAGTGGACGTCCGAGCGAAGGCCAGAACATGGCCCCCGAGGGCCCGCACCGAGAGGACCGTTCTGGCTGGAGAGGCCAGTCGGGCCTGTCCCTCTACAGGGGGAATAATCAAAAACAGTAAATCATAGTCTGGGGCCTTTTTTTTTGGAGTAGTTTTGGGCATCTTTCGAGTACCTGTTATTTTTCCTCCGGAATCCCCCTGTAGGGGGACGCGCCCGACTCGACGCTGATGGTGCCGAAGAGGGGCCTGCGCGCCTCCAGCGTGCCCTGGGCTCTTTGGGCTTCGAGGGTTCTGCGATGGAGCGCGCGACGTTCCCACGCCAGAATCAGGAGGGGAAAAACACAGACACAATTTATCGTCGATTCCCCAGAAAATATAAGAAAATATGGGCAGTGGGGGGAAGACAGAAACCCTGAAAATATGGGAAAATATGGGGGATATGTTTATTTGTGTATTTATTTGTGTGTCCTGGGGCCCCTTCACAGAAGTCCACGGTCGTCCACGGGCGCCCCTACGCCAACCCAGGAGATCACGCACACGAATCCGCACAATGGGCTGCTCTGGCCACGGCGAGCATCGGCACGGGGTCTCAGGGTTGGGCTTCTTGTGGAAGGTTTTGTGGTCGAGCCTCTACTGTCGGGGGCGGCAAAGAGGGGGGTGATGTCTAGGGGGGGTGGATAGTTATCATGGCGTGGGCCATGATGTCTTCCCAGATTTCATGACGCCTCTCCTTATTTTATCACGTCCCTGGCCCTCCCGCTGGGCCGCGCACATGCCGCCGGTCATGATTTGCACCCCCCCTCTTGGACAGCCCCCCTCTCGGCCGCTCCCGATATTGCACAGCTGGCACCGGGGGTAAGGATCACAGGGGCCACCCCCGCCAGCCCACCCCAGCCAACCTGGGAGCGACTTGTGCCCGCCGTCGCGGGCGGCGACGGCGGATGCAGCTGGCACTGGGGTTGAGACGAGCAGATCCCCAGGAGGAATATTCAAAAGTAGTTGAACAGGAATTCGTCTCGGAACGATGTCTCGGCTATGTCTGGACCACTGTTCGGCTTGTCTTCCATATTGTCAGTCTTCCTTCCGAAATCCGCCTGGAGGAGGACATGCCCGACCTAAAGCTGGCACCAGGGTAAAGGACCACCCTGGGCTTGGAGGGCCTCCTCGTGCCTGGGCGCGGGCCTTCCTCTCTGGAGCGGTCTCCGTGTGCTGGGCACCTCCACGGGGGGTGGGACCCTGGGCTTCCCGCGCGGGGGGCTCGCGCCTTCGGCTGCACTCCTCCTCCTCTTCCTCCTACTCCTCCTCCTCCTCCTCCTCCTCCTCCTCCTCCTCCTCCTCCTCCTCCTCCTCTTCGCTGAGAGTTTCCGCTCGTGGCCCTGTTTTCTCTGCACGGGTCTCTATGCCTCCCATGTGCGTCAGTCAGAGGATCGCGACGCCTCGCCGATGCATCGCCGAAGCGGGTCGACGTGGAGCCCGATGGTTCCACGCTGGGGGCGCCGACGTCTCGCCCTGCGTCGCCGATGCAACGGCGACGCATCGCCGATGCATCGCCGATGCGGCGCGATCCTCGGACCCCATCCGACGGGAACCCATCTGTCAGGAGGGGAAAAAACACACAGACACAATTAATCGCCGATTCCCCAGAAACTATGGGAACATATGGGAAGTGGGGGGCAGGACAAAAAACCAAGAAACTATAGGGAAATATGGGGAATCCTGTTATTTGTGTGTATTTATTTGTGTGTCCTGGTGCCCCTTCAATCTGGAAGGCCTCCAAAGTCGTTCCCATCCCCCGCCAGGATCACGCCAAGAACCGAGAGGTGTCGGACGCGCAGCGGGCGCTCTTTCGGAGGCAGCTGCAGGCAACGAGGACGGCCATGAAGTCGGCGATGAAGGCGAAGAAGCCAGGTACGGGCGCGCCCGATGGCAGGGGTGGGGGGCATAGGAGGGAAGGATAAGGGAGGCGGGAGGAGTTACAGTTCAGTCGCGCCTGTCCTTCTACAGGAGGAAAGTTCGAACATAGGAAAAATAGTCTGGGGACGATTTCTGTGATTGTTAGACAATGTTTCAGCATTTGTTGGCTATGTTTCATGTTGCGTCCAAAATCCGCCTGTAGGGGGGAATGCCCGACCTAAAGTTACAGGGAGTAAGATGGGAAACCTGACAGGGGAGATAACCAAGAGGGGGATTGCGATGATGTTGCTGATGCTGACGCTGATGCTGATGCCGCTGACGATGCTGATGCTGATGTCGATTGCGATGGCGATGTCGATGATAATGATTATGATGCTGCTGATGATCATGATCATCATGATGATGATGATGATGATGATGATGATGATGATGATGATGATGATGATGATGATGATGATGATGATGATGATGATGATAATGGAAAGAGCGTGTTCTACCGCTGCTGGCGGAAAACCGGGGGGGGTCACTACCGGTTCGAACCCCTCCCCCCCCCCTCCGGAAAACCGGGGGGGGTCACTACCGGTTCGAACCCCTCCCCCCCCCCCCCCCAGCTCATCATGAAAAGGGGGGGGGGTCACTACCGGTTCGAACCCCCCCTCCCCCCCCTCGACAACCGAGTGGGGGTGCGGACAGAGGTGGGGACGGTGTTGGTGGGACAGTGGTGAGGGGACAGCGGGACAGTGGTGGGGACAGTGGGACAGTGGGACAGTAGAGGGCCAGTAGTGGTGGGGACAGTGGTGAGGACAATGGTGGGAACAGGGGGGACAGTGGACAGTGGTGGGGACGGTGGTGGTGGGGACAGTGGTGTGGGCACAGTGGGAATGAGGTGGAAACAATGGGACAGTGGAGGGTACAATGGTGGTGGGGACAGTGGTGAAGGCGGTGGCGAGGACGGCGGTGGGACAATGGGACAGAGGTACAGTGGGGACAGTGGTGGGGACAGTGGGGACAGTGGGGGGAACAGTGGGACAGCTCAGTGGGACAGCGGAGGAGTCAGTGGGACAGTGGGGATAGTCGGGCAGTGGTTGGGGCCGTGGAGACAGTGGGGAGAGTGGAACCGTGGTGGGAACAGTGGTGGGGACAGTGGGGACAGTGCGACAATGGCGGGGGCACTGGTGGGGACACAGTGGGGACAGTGGTGGTGAGGACAGTGGTGCTGGGAACAACAGTGGAGGATGTGATGCGGACGGTGGTAGGGACCGGGAGTCGTTTGCTGGCGGTGAGTGGGGGGGTAGGGAGGGGTTCGAACCGGTAGTGATCCCCCTCCGGTTTTCGAGGGGGGTGGGGGGGTTCGAACCGGTAGTGACCCCCCCCGGTTTTCCGGATCCGGAGGGGGGTGGGGGGGTTCGAACCGGTAGTGACCCCCCCCGGCTTTCGAGGGGGAGGGGGGGGGTTTGGGATGGGTTAGGGGAGGGGGGTTTTGCCGTGGGAGGGGGGGGGGGGGACGGGGTCAGTCAGGGGGGTGGGGGGATTTTCGGAGGGGGGGGGGGGGCGACCCCCGGGTTCCGGAGGAAAAGGTTGGCAATTTCCCACGGTAAAGCGGCGGTGGATCACGCTCTCTCTGATGATGGTGATGGTGGTGATGATGATGATGCTGATGATGCTGATGACGATGTTGATGCTGATGATGATGATGATGATGATGATGATGATGATGATGATGGTGATGATGATGATGATGATGATGATGATGATGATGATGATGATGATGCTGATGCTGATGCTGATGCTGATGCTGATGCTGATGCTGATGCTGATGATGCGGATGCTGATGTTGATGCTGATGCTGATGCTGATGCTGATGAGGATGAGGATGAGGATGAGGATGAGGATGAGGATTAGGTTTTGGCTGAGGATGAGGGTGACGATGATGCTGGTGGTGGTGGTGATGTTTTCGATGACGACGACGACAGTGATGGCGATGGTCATGATGCTGCTGCTGATGGTGGTGCTGATGAAGTGCATGGTGAGGACGTTCACGATGGAACTGACAAGGCTGATACTGATGACGACGATGATGGGTATGATTATGTTGATGACGGTTACGATGCTGGCGGTGTGATGTTGATGACCTTTATGATGGTGGAGGTGGTAATGATGACGGTATATGTGATATGCGAACAGTGGCGCTCATCATGATGGCGATGATATTGTTGATGGTGAAGGCGGCACATCGCAATGGCGATGTTGCTTGTGATGGTGAAGGTGGTGATTCCACATGCTTACGCCGCACCCGTCGACCCTTGTATAAACTACGGCGCCTCCAGGGCTGCATTCCACGGCGCCTTTCCGAATTAGGGCACGGCCATCGACGTAATCCCTCTTGTCGTCGACGACGTGCCGTGTTGTTGAGTTCTTACTGCGTGTTGTTTCGTTGTCTCGCATCGTATTTGTTGCGTCTTCGGTGTAATCATCGCTGTTGGCATCGTCGTCGTTGCCGCTGTCGCCGTCAGTCGGCGTCATGTTCTGTTGTTGTTGTTGCTGTTGTTGTTGTTGTTGTTGTTGTTGTTGTTGTCGTTGGTGTTGTTGTCATCGAAAGTGTCGTCGTTGGTGTTGCTATCGTTGTCGTCGTCGTTTTCACCCAATGTTGGTCCAATGTGTTGCCAATGTGAGCGTCTGGAAGACAGTGCGCTCAATCAGAGTCGCGCCGTGCCGAACGATCAACCTGCTCGACCTGCCAGATCTCTCGGCCCAAGCTGGCGTCCCCGGTTCTTGAGCAGATGGCCCTAGGGGGGGGATATCATGGCGGGGGCCATGATATTTCCTCAGATTTCATGGCGCCTCTTCTTATTTCATTACGTCCCTGGCCCCCCCGCTGGGCCGCGCACATGCTGTCGCTCATGATTTGCACCCCCCCTCTTGGATACCCCCCTCTTGGCCGCTCCCGAAACAGGTAGCCGTACAGATCCTCAAACGACGTGAGACGAACACAACGGGGAGCCCAGCACGGCCCAATGAGGGCAACAAAAAAGGCTCAGCACGAGTCTTCGCGGCGCGCCGACGGTCTCAGATGTGAGGGCACTCGGATGTCTTGGCATCGCTCGGACGTGTGCATTTTTCTTTCGGCGAGGACAATCGAGGAGCATCCTTCATCATTTGGCGAAAAAGCCACGCACGAAACCGAACAAAAACACAGGGAATGGACGTCCGAGCGATGGCGAAATGTCCCAGTGTGCGTCTAGAGGATACACGGCGAAGAATGACGGAGGCTGCAGGGAGAGGCGTTCCGGACGCGTGAGTTCCAGAGGCGGCGAGCCGCAGAGGAAGAGCAGAGGCGGGAGCGGAGCTGCTCTCGCGCTGCTCGCCAGGTTGCGGGATGATGAGGAGGAGGAGGAAGATGCGGAGGAGGAGGAGGAGGAGGAGGAGGAGGAGGAGGAGGAGGAGGAGTGGAGGAGGAGGATGGAGGGTCGGAGGAGGAGGGGGAGGGACGAGGACGAGGATTGAGGAGGAGGAGGAGGAGGAGGAGGAGAAGATGAGGTCGAAGAGGTAGGAGGAGAGGAGGAGGCGGAAGAGGAGAGGAGGAGGAGGAGGAGGAGGAGAGGAGGAGGAGGGAGGAGGAGGAGGAGGGGGGCGGCGCGCTGCGCGCGCGCGACCCGCTCGGGTGTGCTGCGCCGGGCAGAACAGCAACAACAGATCGCGGAAGGGCCCTCGGGAGCGCGGGCGCCGCGCGAAGGAGACCGAAAGGGGTGAGCAGTCCGGAGACGAGGGCAATCGTCGAGAATGAAAGAACACGTACAGTCGGGGCGTTGAACAAGAAACCTTTTTCGTTTGGGAGGGGCTCAGTGCTCCTTACTTGTTTTGCACTTGGCCTTAGGTATTGCTTAGATTTTCGATGGGACATCTAAGTGAACTTTATGGGAGACAGGGACCTCGTTCCTTACTTAGGGCTCCTTAGGTCCACGCCCCGACTGTGCCCCTATCGACACGAAGACGTGACCTCACTGAGGTCCCCGTCTTGGCATGAGGGTTCACAGTTCTGGGCGGGTTGGCTCGATGCACCTGCAGGAACGATCCCCTATCCCTGGTGTTTTTGGCCCTCCCAAGTTAGGTCCCCTCCCAAAGGGCTCGGTGTCTTTCCCTGGCTAATCAAGCAAGCGGGCACCTCCGTGGACAGTGGCGCGGCGCTGTCCGAGGGCCCAGAACGGCCAGGGGGCGGGAGCGTGCGCATGCTTCACGCCACGGCGCCCCGCTGCCACTGCGGGGCGGGCGGACAGCACAGGCGTCCCCCCGTGCACGGCGGGGCGCCGTCGTGCAGAGGACGCGCGGGGCACCGGCGGGGGCGCGCGTTGGAGAGGCACCGGGGCCCAGCTGTCAGCGCGGGGCGCAGAAGCGCAGCGATGCCTGTGGACTCAGAGGAGGAAAAGATATCCATACCTCTGCCCTTCCCTCGTTTTCCCCTTTCTGGGTCTCCTGGGCGGCCGGCGTCGCCACTGCTGGATTCGCCTCGAAATCCTGGTCAGAACGCACCCCGGGAGAGGTCCGAGGAGCAGCGGTATCGGTACCTTTGGTCGGAAGCTGGAACATGTACATGACCAGTGGCGGGCCGTTTTTCAATCCTATGATTTTTCGAGGGTCGGGGACGACGGACGACGTCGGGGTGGTCTGGTGTATACTTCTTCCCCGCTTTCGCGGGGAAACAACGAAACATTTATACACCAGGATCCCGTACACACCGGGATCCGCGCTCCTGTGCGAACTTCAGCGCAGGGCCGGAAAATGCGTCGGTGTATAGAGTTCGTTTCCCTATTTTTCGGGGGTTGCTAAAGGTGCCCCTGGCCCAAGGTGCCCCCAGCTTGTCGCTCAATCCTGGAGCCCCTGTGGCCCTCTGGGCCTCGTGAGGGGTGCTCTGGAGGCCCTGAGGACCTCCTTGGAAATCTTGGGGGTACCTTGGGCCAGGAGCACTTTTAGCAACACCCGAATTTTGGTCTCCAGTGTCAAGTCGGCTTCGGACCCAGGCGGGAGTGTGCGCCCCTTGGGCAGCGGGGGGGCCCCCCGGACACCGCGAGGAGCGGGCGGGCGGCGCAGGTCTCCCTGCGGACGGCGGGCCGCTGGTGTGAAGCGACGTGGCGGGAGTGCGCGCTTGACGCTGGGGCCCCACTGTCAACGCGTGCACGGGTAGAGTAGTGGAGGACGATCAATGGAGAGGAAGCATGTTGCCTAATAATCTCCAGATGTCTAAAACATGCTTCGAATATGCGTCAAATATGTTTTAAAAAAATGTTTGAAACACGTTTAGAACATGTTTTAAACAGTTTAAACACATGTTTCATTCAATGATCCGATTGTTAGAGTGTCCATTGTCATGGCATCCACAAGGGTAGAGGTGGGGAGCCAGGAGGAGCCCGGGCGTTTTCGCAGACGAGTCCCGGATTTCTCTTCGTCGGCGGCGAGGCCCCGCTGTCAAATGGGTGTGGTCGTCCGAGGCGGACGGGTAAGTTTGACAGCGAGGCCCACTGTCTGAACGGCAAAATTCGACTCGAATCCGCCTGCTGACAGTGGGGCCCCACTTCACCGCCCACCAAACCACCCCAACCGAAACCCGAAGGCCTCGATTGGCCCTCCATTTCCAGTGTGGGGGGTCGGGGAACATCGCCTATGAAGCCCCTCCCCCCCAACCCTAAATTCGGGTCTTCGGGTTAGTTTGGGGTGGTCTGGTAGGTAGTCACTACTATCAAATGGCCTTGGGAAGCCGAAGCGGGAATGTATGTTCATTTTGTGACGTTGGAGCCCCATTGCCAATGACACGTCGGGGGCCAGATGGGGCGGGTCTGTGGGTGGGGAGGAGGACTACATCACGCGCCTGGAGACCCACAAGGGGTCGGCGGATTGGGATGATGTTGTTAATGATGAAGATGATGACGATAATGATGATGGTAATGACAGTGAGGATTACGAGCGAGAGGAAGAGGGACATGAATAGGAGTCGAAAGTTCAGGAGGAGCATGCAGCGGATGAGGAAGAGGATGTACAAGTTGGAGGATGATAGTTGCGATGAACAGTACTAGGTGGATGTGTCAAGATGTGCTGGTTGGAAGGCGTGCCAGGCTGCAAGAGCAACAATAACAGCAGAAGGCGAAGGAAGGAAGGAAGGAAGGAGTCACAGTGTTCATCCATCTGAGGATTGACGGCGGTTTGAGGAAGTCTCTTGTGCACACACACACACAGCGGTTGGGATGAATTGCCCGCGGCGAGTGCGAGGTTTCGCCGCCTTCGGAAGACTGCTGAAGGTTGGCCGTCTGGTCTGATCCGCAGGGCGACCCTGCAATACCCTGGGCAGCCTCGCGTCCAGTGCATCGCGCCGCCGTGCTCGAGTGGTGTCTAGAGCCTCGGAAGACCCTCGTGTCCCCTCTGCTTCCATCTGCGACCCGTCCCGCCCGGGTGAGTCTGGACACCCCCTGCCTCGGCCGCGCGCCGCGAGGCGCGGCGAAGGAGCACAAGGTGGCGCCGAAGAAGCGGGCGAAGGCCGGCGAGGCACCCGGCGTGTGCCTGCAAGTCTTGGCCCTGCCTCGGCTCGGATGCCCGCCCGAACTCGCTCGGTTCGCCGCAGGCCAGCCGAGTCCTCGCCGCAGGCCAGCAGAGTCCTCGGACCCATGGTGCGTGCGCACGAAGCGGGCGGTCAGCGCGTTCGGAAGGGTTTCGATGTTTGTTCGATGGGGTCTCGAAGTTGTCGGAGGGATGCGAGGCCTAGGGCGCTTTCAATCAGCTGCGCCTCGTCGAGAGTGTTCTGGGGATGCCGGGATCGTCCCGAACGGCCACCCGAGGCCCGAATTTAGGTCTGAGAGCCAAGTGGCGCTCAGCGCAAATGTGCGTCGGCCAGTCCCCTGGCATCTTCTCTAGCTGACCCAGGTTTGGGAGCCACGGGGGGTCGGGAGCAACTTTGTGGCCCGCCTCGGTTCGTGACATGGCCGTGCATTATGTTGCGGAGTTTGGGGGCCTTATGCAGTGTCCATTGGTCCTTATGCAGTGTCCATTGGTCGCGTGATTGCCATTGCCGATGGCAGCTGTCGCGTCCAGTTTTGTGATGCTGCCACCATGCTTGGATCGTGGGCCAGAGGCCTCTCGGGGTCTCTTGATGTACCGCCTCTTTGAGGCCTCCTGTGGACTTCTGGAGGGTTTCATTTGGGCTTGTTGTAGGCCGGTTAGGGGTCCATGGAACATCTTGGGGGAAGTGGATCTCGGGGTTTTTCGATTTGCCTGTTCATTCAGGGGCTTCTCAGGGGTCTAAGTGGTGAGGGCCTTTTGAAAGCCTCCGCGGCCGTCTTTGGGCTGCCTTGATGGCCTCTTAGGTCCTCGCGAACGCTCCTAGGACCGAAACGACGAGACTGCATCCATATCATAACACACAGAGCTTCATATCTGCCAACGTTGGCTCAACATGAACGTGGTGTAATGTGTTTGGGTAGCTAAGCTGGTGGTAGCTAACGATGCGTGTACTCGGCTCCATTGGAGTCTACTCTACCTTCACTTGTCTCGAACCTTTTCAATTCTACCACCAGTTCTTTTCTACCGAGTTCGGCTCTTCTCGACTTGACCCTACTCGAATGTATTTTCTTTCACGCACGTTCAGTCTTAGTGTGTGGATGTGTACAGATATCGGTGCAAGTAGAGAAGGCCACAACTGTACATTTTTATGTTTGCCAGCGTGGACACTAAATAGCTTGTTTCTAACCATATATGTACTGCGACATCTGTGAAGCAATCGATGTAGTCAATATATGTGGTGCGATACCTGTTGGCACGATTTGCGGTGCAATATAGGTTGTGAAAACTGTGTGGTGCAGTATATATATATATATATTGCCTCAGATGCTGTACAGTACACGTGGTGCAACTAACGTATTCATCTAGGTGGTGTGAGCTATGTGGTGCAAGTTGCATGCTGCAATATATGTGGTAAGGGCTAGCGTACTCGTGCATGTGCACCCTATGTGCAATATTGATGCGACAGTGTGCACAAAGTCTGTGTGGTGCCATCCGACTGCGGCGACGGCTGGCGACGAGGCGGCGACTGGGCGGCGACAGGGTGGCGGCGGCGGCGGCCACATAGCCGCCAGACCGACCACACGCCCCAGTTGATGAACCAGAAGTAAACAACCCTAAGTCCAAGCACTGTTTGGGGATGATATGAAGGATTCAACCCAACCGACGTGCCGAGCGGCATCCAACCAGGGCATTGCCTGGTGCGTGTTTCATAAGAAGAGGTGTGGAACCCGTGTCCACCTGAGTCGTGAGATAATTTCATGCGGGGTTCCACCGCTTCCGGCTCGAGCAAGATCGCTTTCATGTTCTTCACGTTTCGCGTATCCCCACCAGTCCATTGAGAAAGTTTGCTCATGAAAGTTGAAGGGGAAAGGAAAAAAACAGACACATACAGTGAGATAAAGCAGACAACCAGGGAGAACATATAATCCTCTGCGAGCAAGGGGGTGGCCTTGGAGGGCCTCTTCGGGCCTTCCCTGGGGCCCGCGTGGGGGGCGAGAGAAAGAGGAGGAGGAGGAGGCAGACGAAAAACGACGACGACCACGACGACCAGGAAGGGGAGGAAGAGACATAGAAAGTCGATGGGGGCAAGGACGAGGACGAGGAGGAGGAGGAGGAGGAGGAGGAGGATAACAACAAGAACGAGGACAGAGCCCTCAAAATATCCCCCCTGGACCCTGGAGCCCTCTTGGGACTCTGTTGGGAGACCATGGAGCCTCGTGGAGCTCTTTTGGGGGCCTCGGGGCCCTCTTGGAGCCCTCTTGGGGTTCCCTGGGGGATCCCTGGAGGCCATCGATCAAAAGGGGTAGGTCCCACATTTATTTCCCCCATCGGGGTGTAGTTTTTTTACGATCTTGGGCGTTCTTGGGGGCGTTGTGGGATGCTCTTGGGCCCCCCTGGGGCTCCCTTGGGCCACCTTGAGGCTTCAAAAACGCATCGGAAGCGAACGGGCGAGAAGGCAAACCTCATGGATTTGCCATCGGGGTTTGAAGGATTTTGGTCTCTTGAGAGGGACGTGTGGCGGCCCCGAGGGAAACCGTCTTATGGCCCTCGTCGGGCTTCTTGGAGCCATGTCGGCTTCTTGAGTCGCTTTGGACGCCGTATAGTATCGGAGGCCCTCTTAGAGCCACCTTGGGCTTAAAGTTACCCTCTGCCACCTCGCGCTCCCCCGCCGAAAAACTTCATGGACGGGAGGGGAAAGGCACACCACCGAAATAATGAGAGTTTTTGGAAGAGGGAAACAACAACTCGCTAGACCACCTTAGCACAACGGGCTGATGGGATCATGTTGTGAAATGGACATGGTTTGAGTTGTGGTGTGAGTTTCCATGAAGCTTTATCTTGCGGGCCACATGTGCGCGGTCGAGCACGCGAAAGGAAGTATCAGTCAACCCCTTCTCTTACAATACTGTTAACTTCATATAGCAAATTGGTAGTCCCAACACCTATAAGGCTCACCCTGACAGAGTGCCTACTCGCGCACTCCAATGCTCACCAGCGCCGTCGGCAACATGCACGAATGCGTTCATCACCTTGCATGGCCTTCCACGGGGTTCAGCGAATGTGAGGATGATACTCTCGGCAATCGGACACGAGCTGTACGTTACGGCGTTGTCGGGCAATGTGTGACGCCTCGGTCGCGATGGGCTTAGACGCAGTAAAGTAACATGATCGCGTTGGCGCATGGATCTATTCGCGCCCCGCGACATGCCAGACACGACTATCCCCGACTATTCGATCGGTTATTGTCGATGTCGTTTGGCTCTGTTTGATTCTATTCTGCGTTATTCCCAACGCCACAGTCCTCGATTCGGCGATGTTCGGCTCTACTCCTGTCTTTCCTATCCATCCGATTTCTTTCGACTTGACTCTTCCCGTTTCAGATTATGTTCGTTGGTTCTGCTCGACTACAGACTTCGGTTCTAGCCCTAGTTCTACCGCGTGGCCCATGGACATGTGCCGCACGGGCTCATTCGGCCCCGTTGGGGCGGCCAAGGGCTCTGGATTCCCGGGGTCAGATCGTGAACCGAATGGGCAAGCGATCGGGCTAATCCGTGTTTTTGGATACCCGGCCGGCCGCGCCACTCGCTCCGGGCGTGACCCGTCCCTTTGAGCGGCCCTCGCCCTTCCCCCCCCCACCCCTTTCTCAGGAGGGGAAAAAACACACAGACACAAGTAATCGTCGATCCCCAGGAAAATATACGAAAATGTTGGAAGTAGGGGGGGAGACACAACCTCAGAAGATGTGGGAAAATATGGGGAATCATTTTCTTTGTGTGTAATTTGTTGTGTGTTCTGGGGCCCCTTTACCTCTGGCCGCCCGCTCTTCCCGTTTTCCCTCGATTCCTCCTCCTGCATGGCGGCACCGTCCGCCACAGCGGCGCCCCCGTTCAGATTAGCTCCCTCCGCCAGCGCAGGCGACCCCTGCTCACAGTCGGGGCCATGAAGAAGGAGCCCTTGTCGTTGGGGAGGGGCTCGGTGTTCCTTGATTGTTCAACAGTTTGCGTCAGGTTGTCCTGAGGATTTCCATGGGAAATTGAAGTTTAACTTTTGGGGACATTGGGCCTCGCTCCTTATTTAGGGTTCTTTAGGTCAACGCCCCGACTGTAGCCGCCGACGCAAAAAGCAGGTTGGATGCTTCCTGACTCGTGAAGCTATCCTCTGGGGGCTTCCAGGGCGGCCCATCGCTCCTTCCCCGGCGCCCCGTCACGGGTCTTGGGCGGGGTCAGTGCGGCGCACGCTGCGGCTGGCGCCAGTCTTGGGCCCGAGTGGCGAGCATTTTTCGGCCAGCGTTCCCCTAAGGTGTCCATTTGTGGCTTCGGCCTCCTCCTCTTCCTCCTCCTCCTCCTCCTCCTCCTCCTCCTCCAGTTGTGGCTTCGGGTCCCCAGGAGGTTTGTTGGGGGGTCTTGGGGTCGTCCTGTGCGGGAGCGGCCCTCTCTCAACATGCAGTGCGCAGGGCTTCAGGTTCTTGTGGACCTGGGGGCTCGGCGGAATGTTCGGTCAAGGCGATCGGGCCATCAGCGTGCACCTGCAGTGATGATCATCGCGATCGGAGTTGTAATTGGACGGTGCGACAGCGACGCGAGGATATGATTTGAGGATGCTAGTTGTCAGACCTTATCTGTTTTCCTCCCACTGTATTTCCCTACTTCGTTCGCCGCCCGATCGCAGTGGCACGCTGTCAGGTACCGCGCGCAATGCGTGAATGTGCGTGTGTGTGTGTGTGTGTGTGTGTGTGTGTGTGTGTGTGTGTGTGTGTGTGTGTGTGTGTGTGTGTGTGTGTGTCCCACCTTATCGTGCGGAGCGCGTGTGCTCACATGCGCGTCCAAATGAAGCACCTGTGCAACTGTATTCAACGCGCGCTTCCGCGTTTGCTGTGAGCTTCGCCGCATCCTCAAGCCCCGGCCATCGTGCGTACCACCGTTCGTTGGCAGTGACTGTGTTCGGTTTCCAGTTTCCAGTGTACACTACGGGCTTGGCATCGCTCGGACGTGTGCATTCTCCTTTCGGCGAGGACCATCGAGGAGCATCCTTGATCATTTGGCGAAAAAAACACGCACGAAACAGAAAAAAACAGAGAATCGTCGTCCGAGCGATGGTCAGCGGGTGCCGCCCGCTTCATTTCACAAACCGGATCGGTTTCCCTTGCTTGTTTATCCAGGGGGGCGGGCGGGAGCCCGATCCATGTTTCCAGTGTGTTGCAGGTGCTTTCCGGTTTATTCCAACAACCGAGTCGCACTCTCTCTCCTTCTTTGCCAGGGGGCGGGCGGAAACCCAACCTGTGTTCAACGCCTTCCTACCGAACGTCCCTACCCGCTTCTCTGCACCCTCGGCCGCCCCCCCCTGCCCCCGTGCGCGCCGCCGAACCCCTGCCCCGGCCGCTGCTGCTCCCTATTTGGTCGGGGGCGGCAAGGGGGGGAGATGACCAGGGGGGGGGGGGATATCATGGCCGGCGCCATGAGATCTCCCCAGACTTCATGCCGCCTCTTCTTCTTCCAACGCGTCCCCAGGCCCCCCCCCCCAGGGCCGCGATGCTGACGGCCATGAGTTGCGCCCCCCCCCCCCCCCTCTTAGACGCCCCCCCCCTCTTGGCCGCTCGCGATTTGGCAGCGGGAGAGCCGTGGCCCTCCTGGAGGTGGCCACCCCCGAGCCGAAGGCCCTGGCCTGCCCAGAGGACTGCGCGCCGGCCTCTTCGCTGGCCGCTAGCTGCTTGGATGAGGAGGGGGAGGAGGAGGAGGAGGCCGGGAGGAGGCCGGGAGGAGGCCGGGAGGAGGCCGGGAGGAGGTGTGGGGGGAAGGACTAGGAGGAGGAGCAGGGAGGAGGGATGAGGGAGGATGACGAGGGTGGTGGTGGTGGTGAGACGACCATGCGGAGGCTCGCAACGAATCCGAGAGAAATGAAGCGAGAGCGAGCCTGGATGGAAGCGCAAGCACCGCGCTATCAAGCCTAACTCGGCAGCTCCGCGGGGCGCGCCTCAAGGCGAGCCGAAGATGACGACGACGCGCGCCCCGGACCGGAGTGGCCACCAGCGAGTTTGCCTGGGCCCGCCTGGAACTACGGGCACCGCGGCTGACAGCCACGCGCGCGGGCGCAGGCGCCCTCGGTGGCACGGGCCTAGCTACTCAGAAGCCTCTGCCCCTCGGCCTCGAGATACCCCGCGGGCCTCTGGCCGGCGAACTCCTCAGCCTCGAAGTGCTGGACGATCAGGTCGGATGCAATCTCCAAGGTTTGAGCCGGAGCTTGCATGTAGAGTCGTTTCTTGCCGCTGTCATGCATTTTGTCCGTGCGGCACGTCTAGATGTCACGGCGCGCCCGCTTCGAATCGACGGGGTGCCCGCTCAAGAACTCGTCGATCTTGTCGATAGTGGGCCGGGCAGTGGCGACCTCCTTCGCGCACAGCAGGACGGCCACGAAGTTGTAGACGTCAGGTGGTGACTTCCCATGCCCCTTCTTCCCCTTGGCCATAGCCGTGTACGAACTCTTTGCCTTCTCGAGCGCCTGCATCAGCTCCGACGAGACGGGCACGGCAAACGAGACAGTCACGATCGCTAGCACCATGCGCATCTGTGCGCTGTTGATGACCGACAGCAGCAGGGCGAGGTTCACCTTGGCCTCGAGTCCGGAGCCGGCAACGCCGACGGCTCGCACCTTGGCCGGCGGCGCCCCGCTCGCTGCAGCATCGCTCCCGAACATGGACTGCCAAGCCTCGGACTCCTCGACCGCCATGCTGGCGGGCGAGCACACGAAGCACGAAGGCGTAAGATCGCGACTGAATGCGTGGATGTGGGCAACGGAGTACAGCAAGCAAAGCTTGGGCCGATGGCCACGGACAGCACGAGGAAGGAATACACATAGCGATAGAAGTGCGCGGCTGTGATTGCCGAGGGTCTGCGCCAGCGTGTTCCGGCAGCGCCCGCCCGGAACGCGCTGACAACGAGGGCGCTGAGACTCACGTCGGTGTACGTTCTCCCATTCACAGTTCCACAAGTGGCCCGTCGGCCGCGGCAGCAACAGCCTGTGGCAAATGCATGAGGCAATGAAGACGGCAGGCTTGCGGGTCATTGAAAGACAGCTCACACAACTGGCAAGAGTAAGGAGGAGGTCGAAGATGCGTGAACACTTTTGCACTTCCTCTGCTCGGACAACGCCCTCCCCGGGCGATCGACAAATCCAAATGCCTCTCGGTAGTGCGACGGCAAGAAAAAAAACGAGCCGCAGATGATGCACCAGTTGGAGAACGTGACGAGCTGCGATAGCTTGCGTACCCCGTGTCCAAACTTGCCCGAGAACGCCTGGTGCAGACGTAGTTCACGTAGCGAGCGAAACGCGTCCCCGCACTCGGCGCCATCTTCACCGCAAATCTCGCACAAGAACGGCTTGTCGACGGACTCCAGCACGTCGGCGGGTGCGTGCTCAGCGAACTCGGGGGGCGGAATAGCAACAGTAACACGAGCAGCACGGAGCCGGCCAGAGTCAAGCCGAAGGAACTTGTCGCGGATGTCATCGTCAGTCCACAGCAGAGCGGGCCAAGCCAAAACAGTGGAAATATCCTCGTCGAACTCAGTGACATTCGCGAGCTCCACGAGGTCTTCGAAGAACAACGAGTGGTGGTAGCATTCAGCTCGACGGTCCAGCACGCGTCCGCTCTCGTCGAACAGCCCATGCCGATCCCACTCAGCTGTGCCAAAGAACGCGACAAGGAACTGCAGGTGATTCTCGGGAAACCGCACCATGTTTTGCCATAGCCGCAGGCGTTGAACCCGGAGTTGCACTGAAACGGGAACGAGCCGCAACATTTTGAGAACGGCAAGGTTGGATAAAGCACGGTGCTTATCGTCTTCCACGGAATGCCCGCGACCGTGCACGCATTTGCGCGCGAGGATAGCCTGGCAAACGTCCAATTCCCCGGCCTGCGACGCGAGCATCGCCATCGCGGGCAATCCAGACAAGAGCGTGCCATCCACGAGACACTTGAAGACTATGCCCTTCAGCGAAGATCCGACTGCGAGCGCCAGAAGGCGCTGAGGGCGAAGAAGGCACGTTGGGCAGCCTCCTTCCGCCGCGCCACTTCGGTAGCAGAAGAACAGTTAAGGTGGATATGAGGCCCCAGATACCGAGCAGCAAGAACAGGGCGACCAGCGGCCCGGAGCTGACCGCCATAGACAGCACGATAAGCGGCAGAAGCACCTCTCCCACAGAACTTGACGAGCGACACGTGCTTGGACGAGTTCTGCACGATATCGGCCTTCCCCAGCGCGTCGGAAATCTTGCGCGCGGCAAAGATGGCAGAGGCGACGTACTGCTCGACCGTCTCGAACACGCGTACCTTGGAGACATCGTCGGCGTACGTGGAGATGGACACGTCGATTGGTACCACAGCTGCGAGAAGCGTAGTCCGCGTCGGCAAAAGAGTAGGTGAATCAGAAAGAGCCCTCGCAAGCCACCGAGCGTGGAAAAGGACCAGGGGTGAGGTGGCGATAAACTCGTCAACGCACGGGTGGAAAGCAGACAGGAACCACTCGCCAGCAATGCCGTCGCCAGGTAAGGACCCGCTCCCATTTTTTGCAACCAAGGTGCCGTCAGTGCAATCAAGCTGCATGTGCGCGTCCAGCACCCGTTGGCGAATAATCGAGGCCGACACATCGGGGGCGGACGGCTTCGCGATGGCGTCCAGCAGTGCGTAGTGAGGGAGGCTGGCAGATGACGAGGGTGGAGGAGGGAGGAGTGCAGAGGAGGCCCCTCGGGGCTCGAGGCCGTCTTGCCTGACAGGCCCAGGACGAGGGAGGGCCGCTCCAGGGCGATCTGGAACGCTCTGAGAGCGCTGTGGAGCGGCCTCGGTGCCTCAATTCTGCTGTCATGGGGGGAACAGGGTCGTGATGGTTTCCATTGTTTTCGATCTCCCGCGGCCCTCCATGGGCCCCCGGGGCCGTCACACAGCGAGTCGGGATTCCCCAGGGATGCCCTGGTGTCCAGGGCCCGTCTGCTCCATGTCGAGCGCATCCTCCCAGGCCTGGCGGGTCTTGGAGATTCTCGATGCATCCGCCGACGACGGTCGCCGCCCGCACCTGGGCGGCCTGCGGCCGCGAAGTGCCGCGCGGCCCACGGAGGGCCGCCGCGGGGTCGTCGTCGTCGTCGTCGTCGTCGTCGCCGCCGCCGCCGCCGCCGCCGCCGCCGCCGCCGCCGCCGCCGCCGCCGTCGTCGTCGTCGTCGTCGTCGTCGTCGTCGTCGTCGTCGTCGTCGTAGAGATTACCTGTGTTTCCCTCGTCCTGCCTTCGTCTCGCTCTGCCCCCCCCCCCCCCCCGCCTCGTGCCCTGGGGCCCGCACGCCGCGCGTTCCTAGGAGTGGCCTCCTCGGCGGCGGGCGAGCGAAAGCAACGCCGGGGGCTCCGGCGGCAGTGGAGCCCAGAGATCCAGGAATCGAAGAGGGGAAGGTACCCACACAGTCATGGCGCTGAAGAAGGATCCCTTTTCGTTGTGGAGGGGCTCGGTGTTCCTTGATTGTTCTACAGTTTGCCTTTGGTTTTCCTTAGGTTTCCATGGGAAATCGAAGTTTAACTTCTGGGAAAAAGGGGCCTCGTTCCTTCTTTAGGGTTCCTTAGGTCAGCGCCCCGACGGTACCTCTCCCCCCTCACTCGTTTTCTCCTCCTTGGACCTCCTGGGAGGCCCTCGCCGCCACAGCTGGAGTCGCCTCGAAATCCTAAACAGGGAGCGCCCCAGGAGACGCCCCGGGGATAGCAGTATCGGTACCTGTTGTCGGGAGAGCAAAGAGAGCGGCAAACATAAATGTTTAAAAGGTTTTTTTCCGCCATCGCAGCGCACCCCTGAGCGGGGCGGTAGTCTGGGGTCGTCCATTGTTTGTGTTGCAGTTACTGTTGTGTTGCGCGCAGCCTAGATTGTGCCGATGTTATCCAGGCGAGTTTGGGGCCGTGAGATTGCCTCCAGGCTGCGCCCGCTGGACGCGTCCCTTAGCATCTAGTGGGGGCGCGCAGAAATTGTTTGTGCGCGGTGCCCGGTCGCATGCTGTGGTTTCCTAGGAATTCTCTGGTACCCTTCGCGATGTACAATGGGCTCGGTGCGCGATTCCCTTCATCGTTGTAGTCCTTTGCGGCTCGGTGGTGACGCTTTCCCGCTGTCATTACATATGGTAACAATGCTAATCATAATCGCGTGTGCTTTTTTATCTTCAGTGCAGCCGCCTTCATCCCCAGGATACTACCGCCGCCGCGGAGGAGGGAAGGGGCATCAGGGGCAAGGGAGGAGGGAGAAGTCGGCGGGAGGAAGGGAGGGATGACGGGAAAGAGGGAGAGGATTTGGATGGGGGAAAAGAGGAAACGAGGACTGGGAGAGGGAGGGAGCATGCATAATGAGGCAGAGCAGAGGGCGGTTTAGTTGACCTATGCGCACCCCCCAAAGGGGCACCCCCCAACGGCTAGAAGTTGACGGCGTCCCAGGGGGGGAACGTAAAAGCAATGCGTTCTTTTGAACATTTCCAGAAGCTCTCCTAGAAAATTGCCCGGAGGCTCCAGAGGCGCTGCCAGAAATTCCTCCAGGGGTTTTGTCACATCCTTCAGCAGATGGTCTTCCACACGCTGTCCATGGGGGTTCATCCAGAGGCTCCTGCAGAGGTTCGTCCAAAGGCTCTTCCAGAAACTCCTCCAGAGGCTCCTCCAGAGACTTGTGTAAGGGTTCCGCCGTCAATTTTCCAAGAGCACCCTGGAGGCTCTTCCGGAGGCTCCCCAGCGACTGCCCCTGGTGCTCTTCCAAAGGCGCACGCCTGCCGTCGACTCCCCATCACAAGCAATGGCCACCGTGTCCTCTGTACTATCTTCCAAAGGCTCCCACAGCGGTTCGTCCAGAGTCTTATTCGCTGGCTCCCCCGGAGGCTGCCGCCGTGGCTCCCTTCAAAGGTTTTTTTTCGGAGTGCCTCCAGAGGCCCTCCAAAAGCTCTCCAGAAGCTCTCTAGAAACTCCTCCAGAGGCTCATCCAGAGGTTCCACCAGCGGCTCCTCCAGGAGCTCCTCCAGGGTCTTTCTCTGAGGCCCCCCATGGTGCTCATCCGGAGTCTCCTTGAAAGGCTCCTTCACAGGCTCTTCAGAGGCTCTTCCGGAGACTCCACCAGAGGTTCGTCCAGGGTTTTTTCCCAGAAGCCTTCCAAGAGCTCCTCGGGGGTTTCTCCAGAGGCTTCTCCCGATGCCTTTTCCAGGGGCTCTCTCAGATGCTCGTCCTGAAGCCCCTCCAGACAGTCCAGCAGCAGCGCACGCCTGCGGTCGGCTACCCATCGCAAACATTGCCCATGGCGGCCTCCGCAGGCTCCTTCAGAGGTTCCCACAGAATCTCGTCCAGAAGCTCCTCAAGGGCTCCATGCTCCTCCAGAGGCCACCCTGTGGTTCCTCTCAAAGGCTCTCCCAGAGGCTCTCCAGAAGCTCTCAAGAACCTTTCCAGAGGCTCCACCAGAGGCTCCTCCAGGGGGCACCAGAGGCTCCTCCAGGGTGTCCTCCAGGGGCTTCCTCAGAGGCTCCACCGGACGCTCCTCCAGAGGCTTTTCGCGATGACCCTCCAGAGGCTCATCCGCAGGCTCGTCCAGGGTCCCCTCCTAGAAATTCTACAACAGCTCCCCAAAGGCTTCTGCAGAGGCTCTCCAGAAGGTCTTCGAATCGAAAAGGCTCTCCGAGAGGCTATGGAAGAGCAAAACGAGCTCTTGGACACGCATTCTACCCGAGCGGCAACTGCATCCGCCCTCACCGTTAAACCTTACGCCCAAGGCCCTGAGCGCGTGGCCGCGTGCCTCATCGGGGCCCCCGCCGTCCTCCCGAATTCTTATGGCCTTGGCCATCGGTGCTAAGCAGACGGCTTGGAATTCGGTGGAAATCCGCCACTAGCTGGGTGGCCTCGCGCAGAGGCTGGCGGGTCTGGCCGGGGACGCCCCCCCCGAACATACATGTTGTTTTGGAGGTGTGGGGGACTCCCAAACACCCCGAGGACAAATGTTTATGTTCGGGGAAGTCTCAGGCGAAAACGCTATGCCATAAACTAATTGGGAAGGTCTCCCCCCCTCGACGGGGGCCCCCCTTCCCCCGGAAAGCAGCTTACGTTTGGGAAACAGCTTCTGTGCAGGAAAAAAATTATGCTGCCCTGAGCAAAGCGTACGTTCCCCAGAGTGCGCGATGCAATCTTGCACGTTCTCCAGAGGCTGTCGGGGAGAGCGCCGAGGTGGGCCCCATGAGGTCGATGCGCCCTATGAGACCCATGAGGTCGACTGGCCCTGCGAAACCCATGAGGCGGATGGGCCCACAAGCCCTAAGGGGGCCGACGGGCCCTCTCGAGCCCAATGAGGCCCGTGCGTCGGTGCCCTCAGGGGAGCTGGCGCCGCCTGCTCGCTCACCTGGGCGCTGCCCCAGTGCGCCTCATGATGCCGAGGAGCTCTGTCAGCTTCAGGAGGCCGTTGAGCCTCGCGAGTGGGCCCCAGTTGCCCGCGTTGGTCCTGCGAGGATTCATATTTCTGACGGCCCAGGCTGCGCCCTGCCTGCTCCTTCCCCCTTCCCCACCCACCTTCTTATCCCCCCCCTCACCTCTTCATGCAAAGTATAGTATTCCTCCTTGCATGGGCGTTCTATCGTCGACGTTGCGCAATGCGTGGCGGGAGTCCGACGCGGCGCACGTCGCGGCGAAATGTCGATATCGCCTCGCCGCCGTGCATCTTTTTAAATGAAGTGTGCGCTCCCGCTTGGGCGCGGCAAGCACCGATCGTACTGGGTTATTGGTGCGTGCTTCCATCGCTCTCCCGCAGCGTCCCCCGTCTTACTCGCCCTTACACATTACATTGGTTTCTTTCATTCCCTCTTCCCACCAACACTTCGTCGCCATCCCCCCCCCTCATCCTGCCCCCTGATCAACCGATCTCGCGTCCACGCCACCTAATAGTGTAAAGGGGTCCCGCTGTTCATGCGCGCATGGGGCTCATGGAGTCCACGGGGCCCGTTGGGACGAGCAGGGCTCATGGGCTTCCTGCGGCGGACAGGACCGGTAACGATTGTAGTGCCTATGAGGCTCGTGGGGCGAATGGGGCTCATAAGGGCCCAGCGGCCCGTTTTTCTCGAAGGCCTCATAGGGCTCATTCGGCCGATCGGCCTCACAGGGCCCATTGGGCCCACTGGCCCCATATGGGCACGTGCGAATGCGGCGTGGATGTCGTGAGGAGCAAGGCCTCGTAGGGTTCATTGAGCCAGGCGGCCTTATATGGCTCACTCGACAAAGAGGCCCCGCAGGGTTCTGATGGCCCATCGGCCTCCCAGGGCGCGTTGCCCATGCCGCATGGGCGTCATGATGGGGCCAGGTTTCATGAGGCTCGGTGGGCCCATCGGGCTCATCAGGCCGATCGGCCACGCTGGGCTCATAGGGCCTGTCGGCCTACTGGGCTCATAGGAACCATCGGCTTCAGAAGGCTCACAACGCCCATCGGCCGCATTGCGCTCGTCAGGGCTGCTGCGCGCAATAGGGGCTACAGAGCTCACAGGGCGGGGTCATATTTGCGCAGGACGAAAGATTTTCCTCTTGAAGTCGAAGAGGACCACCCCCGTCCGTCCCCCGTAGAATCCTAACACGTGGGGGGCCTGCGGTCGACGGATCCCATGTTTGTGGGTTCCCAGAACGAATTCAATCTTATGAGTTCAAAACGGGGTAGAAATTGGATCCGCCGTAAACAATTAGGGACCGACGCGGATCTCTAAAATCAGCAATGGGATCCGCGCGCACGGAAATGTGAGCCGCCGCGATTTCACGATTACGGTAAGGTTGGACATCGAATCCGTGCGACCTTCATTGGGTTCGCCGTTATGATTTCCCAGAGGGCTCGTGCACCGCGTGGGAGCGTGCGGTTCAGCGCCGAAAAGAAAACAGTTTCGGCCTGGGGATGGGCGTTTCTGGCATCCGACCTGTCCTTTGCCGCATGCGGCACATCTCTTTTCTGCAGCTTCCGTTCGAGGCTTCGTCGCCTGCTCTTGATGACTGCCGTTCGAGACTTCCTCGCATGCGCTCGGCGCCTCCGACGTTACATCAGCCTCCTAGGGGGCGGCGCGGCGAGGCGGGGTTGACCCGTGCGCGCAGCGTCGTTGAGCCGCGGCAGCCGCTGCCTTAAGGGCTCGGAGAGGCTAATGCACATGCGCACGTGGACGACGTTTCGGCGCGGGCGCCCCGCAGCGATTGGGGCAGAAGCCACCAGCGTGAAAGGATGCTGCCCTCCACTCCGCCGCGCTTTGAGCGGAAGCGACCTTTTTGAAAAGGCGCCGCCGCCCAGTCCGCAGTGGTTGGGCGGGGGCCGCCGTTTTGAATAGATCCCGCGTTCCACTCCACCATGTTGTTGGGCGGCAGCCACCGTTTTGAAAATATGATGCCCCATCCGTGCTCGGCCAGACGCGGCGCCTAACGCCGCGCGGCGGGATCTTCAGGGGGCTCGTTGGGTTGGGAGACGCAGGGCGCCTGCGCACTTACGCAGGACGAAAGATTTTCCCTTCGAAGTGGAAGAGGACCACCCCCGTCCCCCGTAGAATCTTAACACGGGGGGGGGGGCGCGGTCGACGGATCCCATTTTTGTCGGTTCCCGGAACGAATTAAATATTTTTAATTCAAAACAAGGTAGAAATGTGATCCGCCTTAAAAAATAGGGACCGACGCAGATCCCTTAAATCAGCAATGGGATCCGCGCGCACGGAAATGATCCGCCGCGATTTCACGATTACGGTAAGCTTGGAAATCGGGCCCGTGCGACCCTCATTGGGTTCGATGCCATGACTTCCCAGTGGGCCCGTGCACCGCATGGGACCGTGAGGTTCAGCGCCACGAGGAAACAAACTTTCGGCGTGGGGATGTAGAGCCCATGCAGCTCATCGGGCTCCTAGGGCTCACGGAGTTCTTGCGCACGATCGACCTCGTGGGATAGTCATGGCCCATGCAGAGCGCAGCCTGGAATGTTCGCAGGGCTTGTTGGTCTCGCAGGGCTCATGGGGCCCACCGGCCTCGCGGGGCTCACACGGCCGATCGGCCTCATTGGGAGGAGGAGCAGCAGGAGGGAGAGGAGGAGCAGGAGGAGGAGGATGGACTTCACCTCTTCCCGAAGTTCGCCTATGGCCGAGGGCCAGACATGCGATCGACCGCTTTCTGATCTCCGTGCGTGTCTGCACTTCCTCCTACCTCGACTTCCTACGTCGTGATTTGTTCAATGCCGGCGTTTGTTTCACGGAGAGCTCTCCAGAGGACGCATTGCTTTCCACTCACGCTGTGTTGCGCCCAGTGGAGGGCGCACTGTAAGCTTCTTCGGGCCCTCCACGATGCCCTTTATTTGAAAGTTATTCACCCCCAAGATTACGACATCTACATCACCTTACGAGCGAGTGCGCGGCCTTTACGAGGAGGGCGCAACAAAATGTATGCTCAAGTGGTGTCTTACTGGCTTGTGTTCGTTCTTATGTTGGTTTCCCTAAGGGGGGTCTGATTTCAAGGCCGCTCCTGAGGCCCTGGTCGGGGAACCTGAATCGCGTTTGAGGCTCGACGTGGCCAGGAAAGCCCCTGCGATCTTCGTTCTGTTCGTTCGCCCCCTCTGACAGTGCCGCGACTGCAGCCGGGAACTTCTGACGCCCCGCTAGCACGTTGCGCGCGCGCGCGCCCGGAGCACCTGCGCAGCACAGCCGCACCTTGCTCACGGGAAAGGTCAGGGCGCGCAGTCCACCGCATCTTTGAGACTTAAGGATGAGCAGTTTTCCATCAAGTTCTCCCTTGCATCCTCCCCCTTCGGCCCACCATTTTGCCGCTCTCGCTGGCCGCGCCCCGCTCGCAGATTGCCGGCATGGCCCGCCAGGGCCCTGACATCCGTGTCGCGCGTCCTCGTCACCCAAGCTGACTCCAACCTGGAGCAGCGTCGCTTCGCTAGAGATCGCAGGCCTAGAGGTTGACACCAACACCAATATCGGCGGTGTGCCTCCACCGAGGGAAGAAGATCCCGATCTCGGTGATGGTGGTAATATTCTTTCGTCCAAGGTGACCGAAGTATTGCCACCAACACCGAAATCGAGGATCATCTTCCCCCCGTGGAGGCAACGCCCCGAGTTGGTGGTGGTGCCCATTTCCGGGCCTCCAAAAAGACCCAAAAGGTCGGCTCCCGTGAGCTTCCACCGAGCATCGCTCCGAGCGGCCGCCAGAGGCGGGGGCTTCGGCCCAGGACAAGGCCGCCGCGCGGCAGGCTGCCCCGGGCGAGGTCGCGCGCCGCGGGTGGCCAGCTCGCCTGCGCGCGGCGCGTCGCGCTGCCATCGAAGCGTACGGGTTGACCGCGCAGGGTGGGCGACCTTCCCGAAAGGGGGTACCCCTGCAGGGCTCGCTTCGAGTTCTCCGATCCAGTTCCATTCGACTTCGATGGGTTCCGCTTCCGACTCGATCCGATTTCGGACTCCGATTCGGGCTCCGAAATTTTAGCGGGCGCATGCAAGCCTGCCGATTTCCGCCGATTCGAATTGGTCCGACTCGGCTGCCGATTTCCGCCGATCCGCTTCATGTCGATCGCCGATCCGACTTGTCGATTCGATTCTGGGCTTTCCCACCCCTGCATCCTTGCCTCTGTCCATCCCTGGCGACTTGCGTTGGCCGCGCCCCGCTCGAAAAGCTTCGAAACGGCCTTCCAAGACCCTTGCACACTGATCGTGCGTTCTTACGACACGGGTCGACTGTAGTTCGGATTTGGGGCGGATGGGTCCTGCAAGGGCCCCCTCGTGGTCGCGTCTGGGCGTGGCCCAAAGCCAGATCCGCGCCGGAAGGGCAACGGAAGCAAGTTCGGGACGTCAAAGTGCGTGCTACATCGTTTGCCTTGGCATCACTCGGACGTGTGCATGTTTTTTTCGTCGGAGACCATCGAGGAGCATCCTGGACCATCGTGGGGAAATCACACGCGCGAAATCGAGAAATGCACAAGACATGGACGTCCGATGGCCAGTTGCTCGGGTGTTCAGTCCTATGTTGGTTGCCCAGAAATCTTGCGGCTCGCTTCTTTAGAGGCATTGGCCCCTGGACCTCTCGACCTTCGCCTCGGGGCAATGCTTGCTCTTCCTGCGTGTTCGTGTCCAGGCATCGGGGATGCGGTGCCATGCTCGGGCCCAGGGCGGCGGAGGGCGGCAGCAGTATAAAACGAGGCCGCCTTCGCCGGCGGAAGCCGGCGGAAGGGCGGCGGAAGGGGGACGGAGAGGGGCGGCGAAGGGTGGCGGAAGTGACAAGCACACCTCCGAGAGACGACAACATATGTTCGGCTTCCCGGCTCCCGGGATCCGCCAAGTGCCGCGAAAAGCCGCTCGGCTCGGTGGCGGCTCGAGCCGCGAGGCCCCTGCCCTGGCCGCCGCGAGCCCCCCCCCGGCACGTGGCGAGGACACCCCGGCGGCGCCGACCCAGCGGTACCTCGCGGACCCGGCGGCCACGCAGGAACTCACCACCCACCAAACCACCCCAACCCAACCCGAAGGCTCAGATTTACCCTCGATTTCCAGTGGGGCGGGTGTCGGGAAACATCGAAAAAACACATGTGGAACCCTTACCCCCCCCAACCCGAAATTCGGGTCTTCGGGTTGGGTTGGGGTGGTCTGGTAGGTAGTCAGGAACGGCGAGGGGAGGGGCAGGGGGATTCGGGGCTCCAGGGGCGGGGTCCATGCAAGCGGGGGCCATCGAGGGAGAAAAAGCGGCACAAGCATGAGCTGTTGGCGCTCCGCGATCCGCGCTGGGGCCCGACTGGCGGCGCCTCCGGCGCCCTCCTTGGGTCCGGCGCAGATCCAAGAAATCCGCGCGCAGCGCCAAAAGTTTATGTTTATGTTGTTGTTCTTCGTCTATTGATGCAAGCGCAGGTCAGCCAGAGCGCCCGATCTTTGAGGATCCTGCAGGTTCCCGCGCCCAGGGTCTGCGTGCAGGGTCCTGCAGGATCCTGCAGGGGTGCACTGACCCGGGTCTGCGTGCAGGATGCTGCAGGATCCGGCAGGGCCTTGCAGCATCCTGCAGGGCCCAGCTGACCCGGCTCCTCGATGTCTCTTTTAGAGGGTGAGTCGCGGAAGTTTCCGCTCGTCTTGGATGGAACGTAGCTCGGCGAGGAGCGCCCAACAGCGCCAAAGAGTGCCCCACGGCATCAAAGAGCGCTCAAACAGCGCCCCACAGGGCCCCATTGTGTCATGTGAGGGAGACGCATGCACAGTCAACCCGCATAGTAAGGATGAGCAACTTTCCGAGATTACCTCTGCATCCTTGCCGCCTTGCGCTGCGTCTTGAGGAGGGCGCCGAGGCCACCGGGGCAAACTCCAGCTTGGGAGCGGCGGGTCTGTCGCGGTGCCGGCGTCGTCTACTTGAGCTCGGAGCTCGGGACGCATAGCTTTCCCGTGGGCTTGCACTAGTGCCGGCTTCGTCTATTTGGGCGCGCTCAGAACAAACGGCGCGGCGATGTATCGACGAATGTCAGCCGGCAGGGGAGGGAGAGGGCATCAATAGGGGGCAGGGGCCTTGAGATCAGGGCAATGCTAAAGGTTCTCACAGATCATTGTTGTACTGTTTCAACCCTGGGACCCTCACATAATTTGTCGATCGGGCTCGAGAATAGTGGCAGAGAGATAGTGTCGTGCGTTCCAGCCGTGATTTTCGTGGCAACAAGAGGCATCAACGTTGTATCACCTCGACTGGAAGCATTCGTTTTGCGCAGATGATCGACAGTTTATGAGTACATATCACAAAATAGTAAGTGCATGCGCATGTCGGCTATGCAATGGGCAATGAACATTTGGAGTGCCGCAATGGATGCGCAGCCGAGTGCATTCAGACTTGGCCTTGTGGATTGCATGGCAGGGCGGAGCCCCATCAACAGCCCATTGCGTGTCTGCCATTGCAGGAAGCATGGGGTTAGCTATATGAGCCTCTGCGCGCATATGCCGTGTTCAGTGGAGCAGGAAGCCAGATAATGTTAAGTGCGGGAGAACAGGCTAGTCTTTATGGACGCATGCAGCCAGCGAACGAGATGATAGAGCGGGCTTTGGCACGTGAATCATCGTGTGGGTGGCTGGTGCGATGACGTATAGGTTCGCCGAGATTTCGGTCGAGGGACGGACAGTTTTCGCAAGGCATCTTCTGCATCATTGCCGTTATGGAGTATGTCAGGGTCCTTCGCTTGCACTCTTGCTGAGGATTGACATGCGCGTTTCTCTTCCTCTTCGGAAGCGGGAAATTGTATCCGTGTGGATAACATTCTGCCCCCGATAATCACAGGATGGGGATCATAACGTTCGGGGGTCCTGAGGGATAATAAGCTTCCCACGGCAGGTCACAACAGAAAAGACGAGGAGGAGGAGGAAGAGTGAACGGAATCTTTCGGAATCTTTTGGAGGGATGGGAGGAGTAGAAATCCCGAGATGCATATGGGGCCACAAACCGCGTGATGATGCTAACGATGGTGATGATAGCGATGATGAGGATGGGGATGAGGATGAGGATGCGGATGATGATGCTGATGATGATGATGCTGCTGCTGATGATGATGAGGATGATGAGGAGGATGATCATGATGGTGGTGATGATGGTAATGATGATGGTACGATGATGTTCGACATATTCGATCTACGATGCATACCTCCCCCGGCGATAATGCAGTTCGGTCCAGCCGCCCTTCGCCGCCGTTTAAAACTGTGTTGGACGCAGAAAAGCATGAGGATAGTGGGAACTGGGGGAGGCGTTATTATCAGGGGCACGGGTTTACAGGCTTGCGCACATCTGCACAGTCAGCTTGCATTGATGAGCAGTTACCTCGGGTCCAATGTATGAATTGTCGTGCTGCTTGTATCTTCTGGTGACAGGATCATAAAACGTCGATGCCAAGGCGCTCTTCTTTCTGTCGTTGCTCCCAGCTTGCTTGCGACACCACCGCTTCCATCGAGACGCGGGCCCGCAGTGAAATATTTGCACTCCGTTTCAAAGACGCAACAGACACGATTGAAACTATCGATGCAAGAGCCAGAAAGGCAGGACAGCACGACACTTTTTGTTAGGGGTTCGTGTCCTACCAGCTTGCGGAAGGTATCGGTTTACTACATGGAGTCATCGCACAGTGCCATGGTGCATGTCCTTCGGCATTGAGTGAACATGTGATCCAAAATAAGATCGATACGGGGGAAGATGTCGAGGAGCGGGAGGAGGCCGATGCAGAGAAGGAGGTAGCGAAAGAGGGTGCGGGGTGAGGAGGAGGAGGAGGAAGAAGAAGAAGAGTAAGGTGCGGAGGAGGAGGAGAAGGAGGGAATGAGGAGGGAGGCGGGAGGAGGGACGAAGGAGGAGGGATAGCGGGAGCAGGAGCAGGGGCAGGAGTTGGGAGGAGGATCGATCTGCGGGAGGGGAGGATGGCACGGGAGACAGTTCGAGGAAGTATGGAGGGAGGAGGGACGGAGAGAGAGGAGAGACGAGAAGAGAGGTGCCAGGTGGGGCTAAAAGGACGACTTGGGCAGATCGGGCCCCTGCCCTGCGGGTGCGGAGGCGCCGACGTTTCAGGAGGGAAAGAAACACACAGACGCGATGAATCGTGGATTCCCCTGAAAATGTAGGAAAATATGGGGGAAGTGGGGGGGAAGACGAGAACCCCAAACATATTGTAAAACATGGGGAATATGTTTATTTGTGTGTATGTATGTGTGCGTCCTGGGGCCCCTTCAACGTTAGCTGGAACATAAACAAACCTTTAGGGGTTACGGGTCAGCGGAAGGTGCTTGCGGGCGCGTTCTCCCCTCTTTCCGCTGGCCTCGCGCGCAGTGCGCACAGAATTTTTGTTCAGTCGCGCGGTGGGTGGAAGGAACGTTCAGGAGCGGAACAATCACACAGACGCAATGAATCGTCGATTCCCGGGAGAATCATGGAGAACATGGGCAAATAGAGGAAGTGGGGAGGAAGACGAACGAATCCAGAAAACATGAGAAAATATGCGAGATCCCGGGATTTGTGTCTATGTGTTTGTGTGTATCCCTGGGCCCCCTTCAACGCTTCTGGGGACAGCTCTCGGGCACACGCGGAAGGTTCCCCCGAACGTCCACCGCCGGCCCATCACATAGGGCAGTGTGCCCCCTCCTCGGGGGAATGTCGGCCCTCCCCTTCCCTCCCCTGGTTGCCCAAGCTGGTCATGCCATCCACGTGGTGCAGTCGGGTCGCTGAAGAAGGAACCCTTTTCGTTGGGGGGGGGCTCCGTGTTCCTTAAGTGTTTCACAGCTTGCCTCGGGTTTTCCTGATGTCTTCGATGGGGAATCGAAGTTTAGCTCATGGAAAACAGGGGCCTCGTTCCTTATCTGGGGCTCCTTAGGTCAACGCCCCGACGGTACCTCTGGAGGTGCTCTGGGCGCCGGTGCCGCTGCGCCCCCCAAGAGCTGGGTCTTGGAAGGATGTGGCTCCGTGCCCGCGTTCATTGGTCCGAAAGATACCCGTACCTGGGGCCAGCCAAGGTGAGATGGGCCGTGGGCGCTTGCTATTGTGCCCGGTCAGCTTGCCCCGCGCGCGCCAGTGCAGCATCCGCGCGTCAAGACGCAACGGCGCGCTCGATGGTTGGGTGTCTGATTGCAGCGACAAGCGCTGATTTTTGTTAGGGACGTCTCGGGGCATCGTGGTGCGCGCGCGGTTCAAAGCCGCCCATATGTGGCGGCGCCTGTCCCAATCGATAAAGAGTTGCATTTCCTCGCTATCCTGGCAACCAATGCGTCTGGGCCTGCCCTGATGAACGACGTTGCAATGTCGCGCCCCCAGGGGGGCCGCAGCGGCCACGTCGGGGACGGCTCTGGAGGGCATGATATGTGCTCGAGAGCGTTTTGGGCCTGCCGCCACCTCGGCTAGGTACGGGGACCTGCCTGAAACCACCGAAACATACCCGGACCTAGCTGGGGTGAGCTGCTGCACCCCGGCTAGGTACGGGTATGCGATAGGGTTTTCATGGGGCAACCGTACCTAGCTGGGGTGATCCGCAGACGGCCGTCCAAAGGGGGCGGCCTCTGGCGACCTCGCCCAGGGCACAGATTCGCGATGTCTCTGCATCGAGCAATTCGCGATAAGGCGGTTGTCGCGCAATGACGTTCGCTCCAGAGTTGTTCGCATGCGCCCCCGAGTGCGCGTTGACTCATCAACGCCTGGATGTGTGTCCGGGGGCGCGCCTCCGCAGCAGCTGGTCCACATCGACAACAACCAACGCAGGGTCGGGCACTCCGCCGATTCGAACGCACGTGCGATCGGTGCTAACGTGCGCCCCGAGAAGACAGCGGTCTGTAATGCTCGATCGGCTGTCGTTTCTACACTTGTGCAGCCGCCGTCAGCTGCGACGAACCGCCCCCCCGGCCCCTTGCCACCCTGTGTAGGTAAGGGTACGGGTATCGTTCGCGCTCGAGACGCGTGCGCTGCTGCTTCGCCGAAGGCCTGGATCACTGCGCTTGTGGAAGTCGATTAATGGAGAGGAAGCATGCTGCGAAATAATTTCCATATGTTTAAAATGTGTTGCACAAGTCATTCAACTATGTTAAAACATGTTTGACGCATGCGTAGAACATGCTTTACACATTGTAAACACATCTTTAATTCAATGATCGGATTGTTAGACTGTTCATTGTCATGGCATCCACAACACGACGCACGAGAATGGGCAGCCCGCATCGATGCCCGTCTTGGTCTGGAAGATGGTCGTTCATCCGCCCGCGTGCTCCCAGACCAGAGGCGTGACCCCCGCGTAGAGCCGCGTGACGAGCGCGTCCAGCTCTGGTGAAATCTCCTTCATGGCCTCGCGCATCACGGCACTACTCATCGATCCGAAGGCGCTCTTGAGGTCGAAGGCCGAGATCACCTTCCCCAGGCAGCCCGCTAGCAGTGATGATGCTGTGTGGTACAGCTTCTCTGTGCCACCTGCCACGCCGATCGCATGCTGAACAGGCTCCAGCAACGCGTGGATCTCGGGCGTGATGACTAGGGTTGGGCTCTTCAAGACGATGCGCCTCAGCACCGCCGTGATCACCAACGGCCTCAGCCAACCTGTAGGTTCGGCCGGCGTGAGCAGGCTACCCACGCGGCACGCCGAACAGGCTACTGCAGGCGCCAACCCGCGCGCCCACGCCACACCGATCTGTGATGTGAGGCGCCGGATCTCCTTGTTGCTGCCCATCCAATGCTCGAAGCGCGACCCGTCCATCGCTGGCCCGGCCTTCTTGGCCATGCCGTTCACGTCGCGCTGGATTTTGTCCTGGAGTTTGGCCCAGGGCGGGCAGTCGGGCACACCCTCAGATGGGGGTGGCTTGGGGGCGGTCTGGCGCAGAGGAAGTGGTCCATCATCAGCAACAGCCTCAATCCAGCCTCGTCCGGAAGGGTGCATGGCGACGTGGCGTAGGACATTCGGCTTGGTCTCCTCGAGCGCCGCCTCCATGTCTCTCGGCGCGGCCTCATAGGTCCGGACCAGCACCTCCGGCATGCGGAGGATGTCCACGCCCTCCCACCTGCAGGCGGAGGAGGAGGAGGAGGAGGAGGAGGAGGAGGAGGAGGAGGAGGAGGAGGAGGAAAAAGGGGGGAGGAGGAGGGGGAGGGGGAGGGGGGGAGGCTCGCTGCTCTCGTCCGCGTGCGTCGCCGGACCTCCGCGGACCTGTTCCTCTGCTGCGGGCTTCGCCAGGGCCCGTCCCCCTCGCGGAGGCGTGCGTGCTTTCGCGGGTTCCGCGAGAGAGGAGCCATCGGCCAGCAGCATCTCTGCAACTCCTCCTCCTCCTCCTCCCTCCTCCTCCCTCGCCTCCTCTCCTCCTCCTCCCTCCTCCTCTCCTCCTCCTCCTCCTCCTCCTCCTCCTCCTCCTCCCCCTCCCTCCTTTTCCTCCTCTTCCTCCTCCTCCTCCTCCTCCTCCTCCTCCTCCTCTCCTCCTCCCTCCTCCTCTCCTCCTCCATCCCTCCTCCTCCTCCTCCTCCTCCTCCTCCTCCTCCTCCTCCTCCTCCTCCATCAGCCAGCAATATCTGCAATCCCAGTGCTGAGAACTCCTCCTCCTCCTCCTCCTCTTCCTCCTCCTCCTCCTTCCCTCCTCAACCGACCAGGCCGCCTGGTGGGTCCAGTTCGGTTGCAAATCACGGGAGTCTTGCATATCTTCCTAACTCCGTACTTGGAGTGACTCAGCGTCGGCGAGCGTCTTTGTAATCGGTGAGATTTCCGGTTTAGCGTCGAGAGGCGCCGATTCGCGTCGATTCAGGGTCGATTAGCGTCGACTAACCTTAATTGGCGTACATTCGCATGAGCCAAGATGATAGTGTGGGAGACTCACATGAGCGCCCGCAGAAGGTCTAGTCCAGCCTGTCTGACCGAGCTCGCAGCCGCTCATTTTTTCGGGGGCCCACAATCGGTGCGGTGACCGCACCGTGTGGTGAGTCGGTGGGGATTCACGGTGACGCACGGTTTCTGGATGTACTTTTGTGGTTCATTCTCCGAGGACGTCCAGGACAGCTGGGGCATCCATGGCCCCAAAGCGGTGTTGTGATGGACCGTGCGGTGAGGTCTTCAGGGGGTTCGAGGTCACCGTGTGTTTTGTAGTAGTATTTAAGTCTCCTAGGTGGCCGAAAGATTAACACCAGCACCAAAACCTGGGATCATCGTCCTCTGGTGAATGCAGCCCCCTGTTTTGGTGTCGGTGTTCATCTCCAAGCCTCCAAAAATACATGTATCCAGGGGCGCCGATGTTCCATGCCTTCGGCAAAGCTCCCTGGCGAATACGCACAATGCCCGCCCCTGGGTTATTCGCCCCTATCGTCGCCCCCGATAGCCGAAGAAGCAGCAGAAGAGAAGGCATAGTCATACTTGTTCGGAGGTTCGCGCGGACTTCTTGGATCAGCGACGGACGCCCT